ATTTTGTACTCGTATTTTAGGAACAAAACTGAACTGTACAGTTTAGATTTCTTTAAATTATTCTCTTTTGTTTAATTTTACCTGCGTGACGCAATAAAGTAAGTAAATTCTTCACAATACTAAAAGAATTGTGAATATTATCAGTTTATCTAATAATTGTCAGAGTTATCAAATGTACACATTTAAGCTTTATTTTTGTTGCGACGGAGACAAATATTATTCACTTCCAAAAGCAAAGGTCCACCTCGAAACTTTAGACCTACACGGAGCTTAGTTCAAGGGTGTAACTAGACTTGTGTGATGGTAGGTTAGTGACTTATGCATGTTTACGTAAAATTTAAGTACGTAGCTCAATAATTTTGTGTTCACAGCAAAAATACATCTAAACCAAGTCTTACCAATGTAAGCAAAGCAGAAGGTGCAAAAAAACCGACCAAGTAAAATCTGCTATCCTAAGCCAGTCACAGGACCTCATGTATTGGATGTTTCAAATTCCAAATTTTTTAGAATTTTCCTGGGGCTAAAGAAATATTCCCTGTAATATTCCCATTTTATAAGTTCCCTCCCACTGGGAATAGTCCCAGCCCACGTAACTAGTCACTACTCATGTACCTTATCCACTCAAAGACAATTTATATAGGCCTAATTGTCTCATAATCAACTTTGCTACGACATCATTAAACTATTTATCACACATTTTTTAATCCTTTAAAAAATACGCAGCATACTAATTTTGACTATTTCCTTATTTAACGACTAAAACTGATACATCGCCCGGATGACATTCGTTTGATACCCTTGTGACATTTGGATACACTGAAAATATTTGTGTGTATTACCATTGACTTTAGGATAAGCCTCTACTCTTCTCGGCCAATGGAACTACTAAACCCAAATCAGGGAATACAGGTACAGTAAGGCAATCTAAATGATCTTCTAATGATAATAATCCATCAATAATATCTAGGCGATCTCTAGTAACTCAGCTTGTCATGTTACACTTCATATTTAAGATAATTTATCGTGGTATACAACCATATCCATTGACTTAATTTAGATAGATAGACAAATAATTCGTATAGAATTTGAGTGTATCTGAAAATTCATGAGATGTTTCAAAGAAATATCTTATTGTCATTCGCACACAAGTAGGCTATAAAAGATAAAACTCTTGTCCTGTGTTGTGTAACCAATTTAACAATAAATTGATTGGTAGAAAGCTAGTTTTTGTATCCTAATCTTTTAATATCTAAAATAAATATGCATTTTTCTTGTAAGACGTTGGCATAATTTACTTTATAATAACCCACGTATATTTACTGTAGGCTATATTAATCAGAGTAATCGTGGACACAACGAATTATAAATATTTAATTAATTTACCTGCAACAATACTCAACCTTGAAATGTTTTTAAAATATGGAATAAATTGAGCACGCGATTAAGACGAATAAATTAACTTCACGATTGGCGTTTACGTGTTGGCTACCAACGATGTAAAGAACTGTAAATCTACACTACACTGCAAACCCTAAATGTTTAAAACATATTTTATACATATTTACCGTCTTTTTAAATGTAAACCTTCTTTTAAAATTAAAATAATATAATATATAATATGAATAAAATATGTTTTGGCGATCAATTTTCGAACAGATACATCGGGCAACATTAGGCTTGATTGCATTATAATTAAATACTTAATAAAATAAGGGTGTCCCCTTTAACATCCATATTCCAGCCGTCTTTTAACTGATTTTTACGATTGGGGTGTGGTGTAATTTAAAAGCTATCTAGCACACCTGCGAAAGATAATTAAAAGGTAATTTTTGTTAGGGATTCGTCCCCTCAAGTTTAGTTTATTTCTAGAGTCCATTTTCAAAAATCAAGTTATGCTGACCAACTTTCTTTATAACGGTATGTGAATTGTAATTAAACAGCTGTTCCTTCAGTTGGATGTTCAACCACAGTCAGACTGTAAACAAAACTTGACTACTTCTTCACAACTCCTAATTGAGGTAAGGAAATCACTTTATATAGTGTATATCTAAAATCAACGCAAATATATTGGGAATTTAGTAGTTCTATTCACCTAATAACTGTTCAAAGCAAACGTAATCAGGGTAAATGGGGTTTGCACTGGATTTATTTGGCCTGGAACAAGTCTTTAGGCCCTATTAAACAACGCAATTTGTGAACGGATTCCCTCTTATATTCGTATGGGTAGAATAAACACAACTGAGTCATGCTTAGATAGTTCAATGGTTACTGTGTGAAACCTACCATAAATAGATAGAAAGCTGCATTCCTCGATGGGTAACCACTGCATTCAGCCAACATGTTGACCCAAAACATAACCAACTGTGCAGATTAACCAAAAATGTTGAATTCAAAGATTTGCAAGAGCGTCCAGGCTTTATTGTTGTCTCAACAACTACGAGAAGATGAACAATTCATGTAACGTTAGTAATTTTGTTTGGATCTATTAAAACTAGGAGAGGCTTACCAACAACAAGGCACACATTTAGGTATTTAATAAGTTTGCTGGACACTGTTTCAAAAGTAAGGAAATGCTATTTTCATTTCGGCAGTAAGAAACTTTAGGGTTAGAGGTAAGTAGCCGAATGGTTGGGTGGTTGTGTTTTTTTTAACAAAGTTCCAAATGTTATCCAACACGTTTATATTATAATCGTCAAAAATGGCAAAAACGACAATCCAAAGGTATTCACATTAGGTGTTTGTTTATACATTGTTGTAGAAATGTCATTACAATATAAACATAAATATATTAATAGGCAAGCATGTTTCTTTAAAACCTTTTTTCTCAGCTCGTGTGTATCGTACAGAAAATCTACGCATACCGTTAGAAAGCTAATTTCCTGTAGGTGTGCAGAATCCCTTTATAAACTAAAATAGGCACAAAAATAAGCACACAAAATGAATTTGAAATTTAAAAAAATTAACATGGGTTTTATGGGTTGCTATGGTGATGACGAAATAACAACAAAATATAAACAGAAAATCAAAACAAATGGAAGACATTCCAATCACATGTTTTATTAAACAGTGTGAGGTGAAAATAGAGAAGTTTGCACAAAACATACTTTTGGTCGATTTTTCGACCACGGGGCGTGCTCTCGTAAACATAAATATTTGAACCATTCAAATAAGACACTCCTTTAATGCCTATCTTATCCAAGAGGATTAAATAGTAGTTGAAAACTGTGTGACTTAAATACTAAAATAGTAGTATAAAAACATACGTCTGACACTGTGCAGTTGGCAAACTTAATTTACATCACAAATGAAGTTCAAACTTACTTTCTGTCAACGCGATGCTAACAAATAACGACCTCTGCGATTTAACTGATACATGTTGATGTGTTGATGATAGTGTCACAATAAAATTAAAACAAGTTAACACGAATCTGTAGTAAACAAATTATGCTCTGTAAAATTTGAATGAGAACCAATAATTTACCAGCCGTCGACATAATAATTTGTGGAAAAGGAAAATTTATCTGGTCTTGCATACAAATCCATACACCTACTTAACCAACACGCCAAACAGCCTCCTCGTACAGTAGCGTTCTAATGAGAATAGTCTTGATTATACAACCTTCCATGTAATCCAACCCTCCCTGCTGCAGATGATCGAGTAAAGAATTCCGAGCTATAGCCGTGTGAAATTACTGTACAAAGTAACGGGTACGTAAAGACTAAGAGAACCCCTTCCGCCATTCTTGGCTGTAATCGGAAGAAAAGTACCAGATATATTAATTTGAAACTGTTTTTCTTTGTGACAGCTGATTTGAGAGAACGGCTGGGCGTAGAAACTCGGTAGAGGTGTCTAAAGAAAGAGCTTGGTCTGTAGAAGAGCCATCAAAAGAGAAACATGGTAAATTCCCTTGGGGCTCTGCCCCAGTGGCCCTTAAATTCCCATCCCATGTTATTCTTATGGGGGAAAAACGGGTTTTTGTCACAGCTAATTTCAGAGAACGGCTGGGCGTAGAAACTTGGTAGGGGTCTCTAAAGAAAGGTCTTGGTCTGTAGATGAGCCATCAAAAGAGAAACGAGGTAAATTCCCTTGGGGCTCTGCCCCAGAGGCTTTTAAAGTCCCCTTAGCAGATTTGTTTACATTATGACCATATGTATAATTTTACACTACTTTTTAATGAAACAGCTGTTAATATTTAATTTGTGATTTACTAAATTTGTCAAAGTGAAGAATTTGCAATGGTTTTTTTTCTGATTTTAAAATCGATTTTCTTCTGCATCGTGTCATGTTTTGCAATATAATGTTCTATTGCCAAATCAGTGGAAAATCCTAATATCACAGTAACTCTTAAAATGATTTTTTATTAAGTCAACTGCTTATGTCTATTGTCAGGGTTAGTTTCTGCCTTTTTTTACTACTTCTTGGAGATTGTATGTAGGCGTGTTGCACGTAGATGATATTCTTTGGCGTATTGCATCTGTAGACGATTGGGTTGGTGTACAATGGAAAAAAACGAGAAATCCTGGACAATTTGATATAGGCCTACTAAAAATAAAACTAAATTAACACTGTGCTACATTTCTTGAGTAATCATTGGAAACAAAATTTTTTTTTTTTTGCAAACAACGGAAACATAAGAAAGTCATAGAATACAACCAAGTAGAAGAAATAGAAATAATGTGTTTTTTTCTTCATTTAAAATCGTTATTATAGTCAACCTAAGGCGGCTTTGAGTGGGAAACATTTTGTAGAAAACTCTAAAAAACAAGATCAGCTTTTAAAAAAAAGATAAGATATTTACAAACAATTTTGATTATATCTAACTGTTGTGTACATCGTGAGTATTTCCATAACCTTTGAGTCGACCTCAAATAGGATAACAATAAAGTCATCGGAAATTATGACCGTTATTCGTTTTAAAATAACGCCTGTAATGCTTCGCAATTGCTCGAATTCGAGCAACAGGTACACTAGTCTATATATTAATTTCGTCTAGACTTACCTCTTCACTTCATCCACGCTCCCGTACAATACTCCAGTGAGAAGTTCCGCGTTAAGCCTTCCTCGTCGTCGGTCGTCCCGCCTCCTCTCAGTCCCTGGACCCATGTCGCTGTCAGTCTCCGAGCTGGCTCTAGAAGGAGGTTCAGGAACTTGCAGAGAGTGTTGTGGTCTCGGTGGCATCAGTATCAGTGGGGCCAACTCCATCTTGGCCTGTGTCTGTTGTCGTACTGAATTCGAGTGCGCCGTCTCCCCTCCACCGCCACCGCGTCTGCAGGGAAACCCGGGAAAACAAGTGGTCAGGGCAGTTTTGGAGGTTATGTTAGGTTAGTCAGCTGATTCTGACGTCATAGATACGCCTTGGAGCAAAGGCCACTCTTGTAAATATTGTCTGGACGTCGCGTCGTCTGTTGGGGGCTTGACTTACAACACGCAATAAGGAAAACGTGATGTGAAATTACTGTATGATTAAACTGAGATAAATAAGAAATTATGTTTGTAGTTACCAACAGTGTTATTTATAGAATATATTTATTAGTATTTACTGTAGAAAATAAACTATTTCAGTCTACGATATTATTTTTTTTCCAAATGGGGAATGCTTTTACCACAGGTCTCGTGGCAAGACCTGGACCGGGGACCATTTATTTTTTGTTTAGCAAACCTGAGTTTTCATTAATCTAGTGTTTCTTAAATAGGGAATAAATATGAGATTTTTAAGGAGATATTTTAGTGAAAATCTTATTTGCTTAGTCTTCATGAGATTTGCTTAGGTACCTATTTATAGTTATTGATATTTTTATAATAGACATTTTCCCGGTTTTAATAGAGGGGGTTTGGCTAGTAAAGCATAAGCAACTGTTTGATACCTCAATGTTAAGTGGACATTTTAAGTTTACAGTACACAATACTAAATTTACATGGACAGCTAGTACGTTTTCTGTGGCTATAGGTTGTTTTGTACTGTACAATCAAATTCACAATTTTTTTCAAAACACAAAAACTAATTAAATAAATACTAAAGATAAGCTTAAAATAAGTAGGATATTCTCATGGCTCTTATCAATTTTGATTGATAAGATATAACTTATTAAGGTTAGCAGTAGGCCTACTACTTAATAGTTATAAGGAACTTGAGATAATATTAATAGACTGGTAATCTTCTTGAGGTACAAAATAGATTCCTATTGTATTAAGACAAGACTCTGACTAAGTTTAGTCTTCTTTAAACATATAAGTTTTTTTAGAGACAGTTGCAGAGAAAAGAAAATTCCCCTACAACGAATGCAACACTATATAGTTGGATTTTATTTTAAATTAAATTTCTCAATTAATACATTCCATTTTAAATAAATGATAGACGCAAATGTCTGTGTATTTCTCAAGAAAACAATTATAAATAGGCCAATATGTTTGCAGATTGAAATTATAAAAAGTCTATTTCAAAATGTAAGTTTGGTTTTGTAAATTAACTGAATTCATGATCAGAAAATTTATTGCAAAAAGTGTATGTTTTACTTTAAAATGTAAAGGAAATTATATTATTAATTGTGTGACCAAGCATAAAAAAATATATAACTCATACAATTGATTTTGTATATGGACTGCAGCCAGATATTGGTTTGATTTTTATTAACATTGCTATGTGAGTACTACTTGATGGTATCCCCAGGTTTTTTTTTAAATTTTATATATTGATTCTACCATAAAAAACTTGTGAAATAAATGGGTTTTTATGGTAAAATTACATAAGTTACAATAACTTTTGAACCATAATTTTTAAAGCAATGGGGATTGTACCGTTTTATAGTTAAAAGGACTATAACAAACTAAATTTTAATCAAAATTGTTAAGGGGAGAAATAAAAAACGTTTCACAGACCACAAACAATCACAGGTTAAGTATTTGTCTGGATTGAAGCCAAGAATAGCAATTGGCAGATCGAATCATTGGCTCTTTACTGTGAACTTTCTATTTCAAAGGTTCAATGGAATAGTGGGAAGACCTGTCATTTGGTGAAATGGAAGTGTAAATTTAGCTTACAGAGTGTTCTAGCATAGACTAAAATGGTTCTAGCTAGTGTGACATGGCTGTTCAAAGAAAGAAACACAGCTGTTTTCTAAGGACTAATTAAATTCAACAAGACAATATTTTTCCTACAGTTACCTAACAATGTACATGTTCTCTCACTGATTTGAGAAAGCAAAGTGGCCAATTCGCTCATCAGTGAGACAATGTTAACATTGTCTCACTCTAATTACTTTGTCTCACTCCAGATTTGCAACGTGAAGGCACGTTTCTTTACCAATTTATTTGTTTTATGGTAACTGTAGGAAAAATATAATGTGCAACCTCACTCACCTATGGCTCGTGAGTAAGGATTTCTCTTGAGTGAGGCAATTGCTCACTTTGCTCATTAGTTGCACAAATAACTATTTCTCATGTCGTATCTTATTTCTGGACTTATACTCGTATTATGGTTTACAGTTAAAATCCATATCCTATACATTAATAGACAAGCAAGCATGTTTCTTTGAAACCTTTTTTCTCAGCTCGTGTACATTGCAGGGATATTTTTTGTGACTTTCCTCATAAGAAACCAATAAGTTACTCCTGCCCCCCTTTTGCAAATGGGCAAATAGAAGAAAGTATGTGTCAGTTTGTTGACAGTTTTATTTTAAATTTAAAACAAGCAACCTGCGTCACTTTGTGACTTGAATATCCGTCATATAGTTGATAAAGGTAAAAACTATTATTTTTCATCATATCCCTGTTATTGGCTCGCAATCCCTATTATTTTCATTGTGTGTGCAATCTCTTTGAGGCATCTTAAAAAATTACAAATACTTATGAAACATACTTTGAAAACACCAAATCTAACGTAAGCCATTTTCTTCTTTACATTTCACACAAATAACATTAACACATTTTACTTGAATTCGTTGAAACATCACCAACTACAGATAACCCCATTTTCCTATGGACGTAAAAAAATTGCATCTTGGCCATCTGTTTTGATGTAAACAAATGTAAACTTGAAAATTTCAGATGATTGACAACAGAATTCAGCACAAACTATGAAACTTGGGGATATCATTCACACCCGCAAAAGGCACATTAAGAGTATAAAAGCTTTAAATTGATACCCAATATGTCTATCAAAATAAATATTTAGGGGTTGATTTGCTGCACACAAAAATCTAACAAATTCTTTTAATGATATAGATATAGAGAAATGAGATAATGCAGACAAAGAAAAAACAGCTGAACTTGGACAGTAACAAAGCTACAGAACATTTCACTGCATTTGTAACTAAATCAACCAAGGTTATTATTTGACAGATTTGAAAGAAAATCTTTTAACATCCTCTCTGATAGGTATATTTGACAGCTCTTGGAGCAAAGTTAAAATAAAACATAGAAATAAAGTTTAAGATTTTTTTTAAATATGTACGGTACCACATACATGAAAAAATTTACATGTTTTGGGTGATTTCTTTATTTAAACACTATCTTACAAGAACAAGTTTACTTAAAACTACATTACCAACTAATAAGTTACCCCAATAAAATTACTTACTTTATACCCATAACTTCTCTAGATTAAATCTTTAGTACACTTACCTGAGTGCAGAAAACGGTCGGTTTTGGGAAGACCTTCGCTTTGAAAACAGCTCCATGGCACAGATTTTAACCATGTAACCCTGTGCCAATAATCCACAGACACAAACACTGAACATGCTATCATTTGACCTTAGACAACTGCCTTATCTTCCTTATCACTTCTAATCATCACTTGTATCAGTGAGTGAGAGCTTTTAAAGGAACATGTAGAGGTAGGATTTCTAAATCTGTTAAGAGCTTCTAAACTTTATTCACTTTTGTTAAAGGAAGAAACTATTTTTAATTACTAATATAGGTTATTATTTGAGAAATAGGCTATAAATAATAAATTCTGAAACATATACCATAATTATTAACAAAACGTTTTTACTTACACTATACAATTTTTGTAAAAAATACACATTAACAAAACTGTATTTAAATGTTTAAAGCAGATGTAATAAAGAGTGACGCCATTGACTATGGATACTGCAAGTAGACATTTGTTCCTTATAAACTGAACACTATTGTGATTTCCATTATTTCTAGAGAATAAGCTATTGACTTAGGTCTTATCGTTGACTGAAAATCCTTACGCAAAAAGGCAGACTCTCTCTTACCCACAAGTCAGGTATTTTTTCCTTTTGGGAAAAGCAGTATTCGTGGGGGGTGTGCTAGTTGGTGTGCAAACAGAAGCCTAACTAAGCGTAAAAGAGTTCGGTTCCGGATTAGGGCCAGCGGTAGTTGGTTCTCCGATTCCTGTTCCTTATAAACTGAACACTATTTTGGTATGTGTTTTACGGGGTTCCCCTATATAGGGAATAAGCTATTACAGTAGGTCTCATGGTAAGACCTGAACCCAGGACTGATATAATTTACGGTTTTGATGTCCCAAGAGACGAACAACACATTACCAATCTTCGAGGTACGTATACATAAAACAAATATAACTAAAATTTGCAAAATTCAAATATAACATGTTGATAAGAAATGTTAAAATAAAAATCCTACTAATATTATAAATGAGAAAGTTTGGATGTATGTTTGTGACAAGTAAAATACTGGTCGGATTGGGCTGAAATTTGGTATGATGATAGCTCACATTCCCAATTAACATATAGACGCATTCTTATCTCAAAAGTCCTTTCCTCCGCCCCAGTGGCTCTGGAGTTTCCCATGTTAACCTTACGTGTAATCATATTTTTAAAAGGAATAAAAGAATTTTGTCAGCTGTTTCAACTACACAAGTTGGTTCTATTTGTGATATTGAATAGCATTAAAAAGTTACAAGGCTTACCAACAGTACTATTATTTTTTACATTTATGACAACATCTATCCTATAAAGGCCACAAAGGTTAAATTTTGTTTTTAAAAGGCTTATGTGTAACTATTTTATCAACAGATGTAAAGGTCAAAATGTTTTAATTTTGTGTTCTCTTCCCAATGCAAAGCACGGGTACAACAGCTAGTAACATATAATTTTAAAAACAGCAGTTAATTAAGAAACAAAGAAAAATCAAAAAGTTCTCAAAAATGGTTACAGAATATTTTCTACTTGTTAATAAAAACTAAAACAGAGATTCAACTACATGAAGAAGGGGACAATAAAAAACTTCAGTCAACATAGATAAAAAATGTATTACAACTTGAAGATTATTAAAAGGAAAGGAGTTATAGATGGATTAGATGGACTGTGATCTGTTTTATCAATAAGGCAAGTGACAAAAAGCCAGACCACTGTCTGACTGATCCGTCAATAATTTCGTTGAAACCAAAACACTTAATGTAAACTACTTCTTTCGCTTTTTCTTTTTCTGTTCTTGTTGTTGCTGTTTGTTTTCTTTCCTTTTTTGTTCAGGACTGTTTTCTGGCTCTACTTCCATCTTCTCTTCCTATAAAAAAAGGTAAATACGAGATTAGAGAGTGAAATTAATTGAAAATCATCGGCTAGTTCCTTTATAAAAGCACATTAAACAATATAGTGGGGTAAAAATATTAAAAGTTTTTAATCTTTTTAAGTGGATCACTGCATATATTTTCCATCATAATAGGCCTAAGTAAAAAAAGGGTTTACAATGCTTAGGGATTTAGAATTTGAAACAGTCCTTAGGTGAGAAAGTTTAGTACCTAGGCATAATAAGATCACACACAAACGCAGTCGAAGTTGGAAAATCACAAAAGAAAAACCACACAAACTAAAGTAGGGCCTAAGGTAGTAAAAACAAAAAAAAAATCATCGGGGGAGCGAGCTGGTCTAGCAGTAGAGCGTGGGGCTTTGGAGCCCGAGGCCCCAGGTAAAATTTCCACCAATCACTAGTGATGTAAAATACCCGGGTATTTAAAACTCAGGGTAAATACCCTGGGTATTTACCCGGGTAAATACCCAAAATCCATAAATACCCGGGTATATTGGGTATTTATGAAATCAATTGAAACTAATTTATATTCACCCCTAAATATGTTATTGTTATCATTACATGAAAAATTAGGATAGTCTATAACACCTTTTACAGTAACTTGAAGCTTTGCTAGTACCTTTTATTTAATGATTTAGCACTTTTTTTTAAATAAAACTAAATAAAAATGGGGTTTCATTTTTTATCAAGACAACACCTCATCAGAGAAATAATGAACCTAAACCTATTTCTGTTATTAAATTATGATAGTTAAACAATTTTATTGTATAAATGGCTTGGAAGGCTAGACAGACCTAAGGCAGAATGGCAGAATACTAAAAGTAATTATACTTTTCTGTGTTAACTTACCGCTTAGTTGGTAAAAATAATATATTTGGATAAGCCTACTAAAAAAATGTATCTCCTGTTTTTTGGTCTAACTTAATATAGTTTTGAAAGATTTATTGTGCTATAGATTTAAATGTTTTGTATCACAAGTTTATGAAATTAGTTTTTTTTTATTTTGATACCATTGATACCAACAAAAGATCTAGAACAAAAATAGTATTAAATCCTGCCATCCTACAGATTGAATTTTAATTATTTTCTTAAGTTGATTACACACCTAGGCCACTACTAGGTTAAATTTTTATAATTAACTAGTGTCCCTGTTGCCTGAATTCGAGCAATTGCTGGCAATATTACAGGCGTTATTTTAAAACAAATTTCAACCAAGTCAGCAAATGTATGTAGGTACTGTTAAATTAGCAAACCTATTAACTGTTTATAGTTAACATGCTCTTCTTCTCACTTTTGATTTCTGACAACAGCTGGAGTTTCATAACAATTTTTGTTTCCAATGTTAATCTTATGGAGAAATTCAAAACTTTAAAGGGCTTCAGGGCCTCACTCTCTCAGTATTTCCCTAAAAATAAAGTTTTGTGCACAACTTCACGTTACTCTCTTTCCAATGACACCAAAAACATGACAATCGGTTCAGTAGTTTCGGAGGAGTAATTGTCACAAAAAATCTGCTTGCGTATTAAATAAGTGTAGATAATTATTACTTTGCAAATTATTTTTCTTCACTTTCAATAAAATAAATTCATCTATCCATCATAGAAATTAAAAAATCATAAGTAGTCAGGACCAGTGCAACCATGCGACCAGGGTATTTATGCCGATTATGCTTTAAGCCCAGACCTGGGTATTTATGGCGATTGTACCCAGAAGTAAAATGCTAGTAGTGACCATATGAAATTTTAATTAACACAGTTTATCATCATTTTACTATCCTTACAGGGTGATAATTGCAAAAAAACATCTCAATCTTCTCTAACTTAAATAAAAATTATAAATACCCAGTTTTTGGGTATTTACCCGGGCCTGGGGTAAATTCCCGGGTAAATACCCAATTTATATTTACCTACCCACTGGGTATTTACCCGGCCCACATCACTACCAATCACCAATGGTTTCTATCTATGTGGTAGTCCCAAATCCCATTAACCTGAAGTAAAGTGTAAAACAGTTCTGGGCTAGAACCTAGCGTCTTATGATGTAAAGGTAAGCCATGAAAAAATTGAAATGCTAACAGAAAAACAATAATTTTAGAACTTAGAACCATCACAAGTAAGTGTGCTGGTAGAGTACAAGAGTTAAGTTAACTGCTAAAATTTTGTGAGGGCACTAGGACACGAACCCACGACACCTCAGCCATGGATTCGTAGTGTGTCACGCTACCAATTGAGCCACTCACTCCACTACTTATTTGCATCGATTATTGTTTTTCTTTCAGAATTTTTTCCCACCTGCTGTTGAGCCTGGTCCTGAGAGGTAGGGTCGATGCTGAAGCCAGGGATGTGTGGCTTTACCAACCGCAGCACCAGCTTCTCATGCTGCACATTGCTGCGGTCTAGACTCAACTGTACGATCACCGGGTCGAACGCGTGGAACACTACGTCCCCACACCTCTGGGAGTGGTCCTGCGGAGAAGTATAGTTTGTTTAGATGTTTGGAAAGTGTACAACAAGTTCTTTAAAAGCCATTGTTATTACTGAAAAGATACATAACAGCTTAGCCATAAGAATAATGTGTTCATTCTTTATCTCTTCATCCATCCAATTTAGTTTTTTTTAATTTTCTTTGAGTATTTACAACTGGAAAATTTGTATGAAAATAATATTTTATTACACTGTAAAAATATTTAAACTTATCTTCTATTGGACTTTGAAATAACAAATGCCAGTCCTCTTTACAAAAATCATTTATGCTTTTTACCATGCAGTTGGCATTCTGGGTTATAGTATGTTTTCTGTGCTCAAGTAGCCTACATTAACAAAATAATTTTTCGTACCATCCTGCTTTAACATGTCTATGCTAAAATCCTCTCCCACAAAAACATTATTGTTAAGTTTTCACTAAAATACCCATAAAAACATGTTAACATTATGTGATGGTAGTAACAACATTTAGAGGAGCCAGGAGATATTAGGGTTTTGACAGCAACAAAATATGTAAGGGGTTTATTCAACTATGTTCGATTTGATTAAACATTGGCTACAGCTGGTACATCCCCATCTCAAATGAATATGAATATGAACATATCGATGATGTTTTTACTTTAATGTACATAGAACAGTGTTTGTGTTATTGTGGATCAGTGCCTGTTAATCCTTTTACTTTTCTTCAAAATTAAAAATCTGATTATTGACAGTCGTTTTGCACTTGGGTAGGCTTGGTTATGAAAACCATACACAACTATTTTGCACAACTTCACTTCACTTGGCTATAACAATGTATAATACAATAACAGTAAAACCCTCCTAATTCGACACTAGTCTTCGGCATTTTAATATTTCTTTTACAATGAGGCGAGTTTATTACTTTTTGCATAAGGAAGGTGTAGACTTTTTAACACAGCATTGAAAACACAATGTAGAAGCTGATTGTGTGAACTTAAATACACATGTGAAACTTTGGAGATGTATAGGAGCAATGATCAACTAAATGTTGAGATAAATTTTGATTTTCTTCAGCTCAAGTGATCTTATAACTATTTATTATGTGAAACAAAACCACATATTACCTCCTCGTTGAAGGTGAACGTGACTTCAGCCTTTTTGTCGTTGGGTGGTGTTAGGTAGATTGTCCCCTCCAACCCATACTTAGGTATCAATATCTGCAAGGCATTCTTACGGACATACAACACATATCCTTCCTCGTCTTGAACCTTATCCCTGAAGAACATCTGGAAAATTTCATACAATCATTTAACATACAGTAGTTTGCAGAAGGGGCTATAATTTGGTAACTTGTATTAGTATTTAAAAAATCTAACTAAGGAAATTTTATGCTTGAAAAAATTATAAGTTAGCTTTGGAAATAATGTGTTTTTAAGCTTAACTTACTGAGGAAAAAGAGTTTATGTTTTGTTTTTAAAAGAAATTAATGCTGCATATACTATGTTGGACCCTTTGAGGTCAAATTTTTTCCCCATTTTTCACCGAATATAGTTTGCCATTAGAGCAGTTAGGAAAATGAGGCCCGGCGACCTATACTTGCCATTCAACCACAAAAATAAATTTTAAAATTTTTTTATTTTTTAGGTTTTTCTTTTAGTGTAGGTTGCCATTTTTGAGCAGTCGGAAAAATAGCGGGCGGCGACCTATACTCGCCATTCGACTGCAAAGGGTTTTAAACCTCTTTTAGTAAATTTTAAAGACATCACTTACCGGGTTTACAAATGAATAGCCTACAGAACATTTTAAGATCTTATTAAGATTGATCTCGAGATCATAAAAAAAAATCATGTAATAAATTAATTGCAAGGTGTCATTGTGTGTTGGTGTGCACAAGAAGATATGTATTTTTAGCACCATTTTAGCAACCCCATTGGTCGTTTAACATTCCTAAAAAAAACAAAATACAAATTTGAAAGACATTACAAGCATATAAACAACATAATTTTAATTTAACTAACTGAAAACTACAGTGGCAATGGAATTGTTATTTTTAAAGTACAAAGTTGAAAGTATTACGTGAGTGTGGAGGTTGACTGAAGCACGGCCTGCGTACTGCGCCATCCTGTTGCGGTAGTTGAGGTTATGGCACAAATTGTGACTCTTGCGTTTGTCCAGCAGCTCTGTATAAGTAGCGTCTGCTCCGATACATGCGGCCAGCAGTCTGTGGACGATGATGTCTGCGTACCTGCATAACAGACGTGGGTCAAATCAGACATGTAACCAAAGTAAAATTCTTACATCTTAATAGCCTACAAGAAACAAAAATTGTTTCTGATTAACACTGCAGTTGAAAATATTTAGAATTAACCCACAAATAAAAATGAGATTGAACAAACTACCACTATTTAAACAAACTTTGGATGTTTAACAGTAAAGAACAAATTGAAATAAAACAATAAAGCTATCCTACTAATATTATAAATGAGAAAGTTTGTATGTATGGATGTATGGATGTATGGATGTATGTTTGTGACAAGTGAACGCGAAAAATACTGGTCGGATTGGGCTGAAATTTGGCATGACGATAGCTCACATTCCCGATTAACATATAGGCATATTCTTATTTCAAAAACCCTTTCGGGCTCCACCCCAGTGGCTCTGGAGTTTCCCATGTTAACCTTATGAGACATGGAATTATTGAATCTTAACAGCTGTTTCAATTAAACAAGTTGGTTCTGTTCTATGATGTTCAATAGCATTAAAGTTACAAGGATTACCAACAGGGTGCAGCACTATTATTTCTTTTACATTTATGACAACAGCAAATTTGCAACCAAAAGGTGAGTGAGCGTAGCGAACGAACTTCAACCTGGAGGCGAGTTAGCGTAGCGAACGAGCTAACCTGAAGGCAAGTGAGCGTAGCGAACGAGCTAACCTGAAGGCAAGCGAGTGTAGCGAACGAGCTAACCTGAAGGCGAGTGAGCGCAGGGAACGAGCTCCAACCTAAAGTTGAGTGAGCGTAGCGAACGAGCTCCAACCTAAAGGTGAGTGAGCGTAGCGAACAAACTTCAACCAGGACGTGATTGAGCCATGCGAACGAGATAATCTTGAAAATTAAGAAGTTAAACGGGGCAAAGCCCGCGGGTTACAGCTAGTAAACAATATTTGGATACACCCATAATGTAATGTAATGTAGTGTACCTACACTACTATACAATTCTTTTTTAACTATTTTATTCACACAAGGTGGCTGAAAAGAAAAGTAACTTGCACCTCACTCCCTTAACTTTTTTTTAACAAATTGAGATATTTTGAATCAGTTTAGCCTAGGGCAACCTTCTTAAGGGACTACAATAAATAATGATAGATAATGTAAAAATTTTACTCTTAGGTGTGTGGGGGTAGTTGGCAGGAGGGATGCCTTAAAATGATTCACCGTAAAGACGGACAGAGATTACTGATAACAGCAATTATGGGGAGTTGGGGGATTTTCCAGGTTTGTTTAATAACCACGCAGAAGTTACTTAAGAGCAATGATCTAAACTAGAAAACATGTTGCCTTGATACAAATTGAAATTTAATAAATAATAGTTTTTTACTACGACAAAAGAGGCTGTTTAAGGCGGGTTAAGGGGTTATCAAAAGTAATTTTTAGTTTCATTTTCGTTATTAGTGGTCCGATATTTTCTTTATGTCAATTGCTTAGTTTCATCAAAACTTTTAAAATGATATGAATGTTGACTATACTTCCTATTCAAACATTTTGGGTCCTACTGGTAAGAGTGCAATTTTTTAAACTTACCATCATTGTAGCCTCTCACATCTATGAAGGTTGCCACAAACCGATTTAAAATATCTCAAATAGTAAAAAGAGAGGTGCAAATTAATTTTTTTTTTAGCCACCCTGTAAAATCACTACGGAATGTGAGAGTAGATTTAACGTCTGCCTAATATAAAGGGGGGTATGGAAACTGGTTTATATGTTTTCGTAAACAAAAAATCCTGCAAAATGGAAAGTGAAGTTAAAAGTCACAGTACAAAATCGTTATTATTCCTTATCTTTTTTTATACAGGGTGATTCACTTAAAGTGTTACAATTTAGGGATTTAATCTTGTTAGGCATTTATTTTACGGAGAACTTTAAATGAACAACTTCCCTTATTTTTATTTTACGACATGCTATTTTTTATTTAAAATTTTTCCGCCATTTTAATTTTCCAAAATGACGACCAACTTAATTTTTTTCATGGCAATCCCCACTTTTTATAATATTTTTGGATTCTACGTAAAATTTTAAGACAGTTTTACTCTTGTCATTTTTTTTATATTCCTATCGTTTTGGAGATACAGCCATAATAAGGCACACATAACCATAAAAAGTGGGGGTTGACATTGAAAAAAAAAATAAGTTGTACGCCATTTTGGAAAATGGCAGCAAAATTTTAAATGAAAAATAGTATGTCGTAAAATGTTACAAAATATAAGGGAAGTTGTTAATTTAAAGTTCTCTGTAAAATAAATGCCTAATTGTAGCACTTTAGGTGAATCACCCTGTGTATCGAACTCCCCAAACCTTTTACACTAGATTCAAAGAAGCCCTTTTAAGATAAACAACCAAACCTCCACCCTAACTGTGTGTTGGATGTGTCCAATGATAACAGAAAAATTGTAAAAAATTGGCATAATTAAATAAATCAATAATCACTGACAATCAAAGAGTTTGAAGAGTTGTTATCTAAGTCTAGAGCCTCACCCTGTAGGATAGCACATGAATAGATCACTAATGCTCACATACCTTCTGATAGGAGAGGTGAAGTGTGTGTAGATAGGTGTGGCCAGCCCGTAGTGGAAGAACTCCTCCTTCTGCAGCATACCACTGGTGAAATACACGGCTTGCATCATGCAGCGGGTGGCTAGAATACGCAGCATAGTGTTGAAGTAAGCGTTGTCTGGCTTCTTAGCCTTCTCTAAAGAATCAGCCAACTCCTTGCCACTCGAACAGTTCAGTTCAAAGCCCTGAAAAGTTGGAATTCTTGAATCAGGACGTGTTGATCATGAATATGAGTTCAAATTTAATTAAATGTGATTCATTTCTCCTGCTTAACAATACACAGAATGAGAAAAGTCACTCACTGGGAGTAGTTACTCACTACAGTAATGCAACCTGTCTGTTGTATGCTCTCCTGGTGCTTGTCATCACTACGTTCTTTTACCGCTAACTCATCAAATGATGCCACTGACATTCTGAAATAGGCTAGTTAAAAATTTGTCTCCATCTTATCTTAAAAGTCCATACAAGTTTTAAAAGCACCGTCAACACTTTATGGGCACAGTTTATGGGGTGCACTGGCCAATGTATTTTTTTAACGTTTGTTTCTCTCCAATGAAACTTTTTAAATTGACTAATCGTGACGCTACATCTTCTTACCTGATTGCGGCCAGCTTTGATGAGAGGCTCGAAGTTGTTAGGAGGAGGTTCAGGATGTCGTCGTAACATCGCACACTCGGGAAACTCCTGGTAGATCTTCTCAGCAACGCTGATGTTGGCCAACAACATGAACTCTTCCACCATGCTGTTGGTGTCTCGGATCTGCTTGGCTTGAACCTGCCAATAGCAATATAACCTTCAACACTTATTGTAAAAACATACTTTTGCCATGAAAGTTGTAGCAAAATTCATATATAAAACGCTTTTTGGACATAATTGTAAACAATGTTAGCTGACCAGTTCCAGAGTCGATCCTTCTTGAAAATAATACTAGCATAGAAAAAACTTACAAAAAACAACTTACATAGTTATTTAAACATCAGGTGCTGTTTGTAAACGTTTCTGTTGAATCTAAAATGTATGTAATTTCACAAATAGTTAAACAAATTGCATTAGTCAAAATTAGTTATGAGATAGCTTACCTCTATGGGATCATGGGTTTCGCTATCCACTTGAAACCTGATTTCTGGTGATGCCAGCACCAGAGCTCTGCAAGAAATGGTCAACAGTTAACAAAAGACGCAAAACTATTCTTTGAAACTTTAAGTGGCTTGTTCAACTATGTTATTTGTAAAAAAATATTGGCTAGAACTGATCCTTATAGATTGGACATCTAATCTATTAATAATCATAGGTATTGGCTATAATAATACATATAATACATAGTGTGGTGTATGATAGGCCTACTCACTATCATGCTTACCCATTCTCTATCCTCCGCTTCTTCAGTATCTTGGCCAGTTTGTTGAGGCCGCGCAGAGACTTAGCGATGTCGTCGTTCTGTGACGGATCGTCAATCCGCAGCTGAGCCTCCTCATAAGTCAGCGCAGCTCGAGACAAGATGATGCTCTTGTGGAATGTCGTCTTGACGATGTTTGCGTCGTGAGTAATTTCCCAAATGCAGGAGAACGCAAATCTTTCCTCATTGCCTCTTAGTGAGCACAAGTTGGAACTCAGCAGTTCTGTGGACAGTTTATTGAAGAGTTGCAAACCAAGCAAAGTTTTGAAACCTGTGGTATTTTATTTGTCTAATTATCTTTCCATTGAGCAAATGAAAATTGATGTTCTCTGTGCTACAGTACCAATAATTTGAAGCTACAAAATCGCCTTAAGCTGGTTAATGCTTTATGAAAACAGCAAGAACCTCTCTTGACCAAAATAAAAAGGGAAGATATTTCCAGCCAAATTAAGGCTATAAAGTATTTTTTCAGTATTTAAAGTGATGAGAATATACTTGATGTACATGTTTCAGTTGTATAATGCTTTATGAATGTTAAGGCCTAATACTTATAAATCAATCACATTTTTTTATCTACTGTTTATTTCTAGCTTTCTTGTCTGTTCGGTAAAAATTTTGCAATCGATTTTACACTAACTTCCCAATGTGCTAGAGACTTGAAACTTGAAACATAGCTCACAAATGGATCACAATGCAATGTTATATCATTTTATTTTCATATTTCCCTTGGGCTACGCCCCATGGGCTTCCAAATTTTTTATGTTTACATTTTGGAAGAATGTAAATATATCAATATAAGTCAGCTGTAAATACTTTAATTTGACAGTTTGTTCAGGTACAGGTTCTGCTCCTGAGAGATTCTAAAGTTTTAGGATTATGAGAATAGTAGCAACAACATCTGATTATAGTTAAAAAGGGTTTGGTTATGTATTAACAGGCTATATAAAATAGATTTAGTATATTTATTTACACATTATATAAAATAGAAAATAATTTATAAATAAAAAAAACTTTTTAAAATGCCACGTTTTTAAACGGACTAAAAAGTAGAAAATAATTTATAAATATGTGGGGAGAATAAATACTTGTAAGGTTTAAAACGTAAAATGTTGGGCACATGCAATAGCTAATTATCTTTACCTATTGAACTATTATTATCTATTGCATGCGCCCCACGTTTTTTGTTTTAAATCTTACAAGTATTTAATATTTATTCCCTCCACATATTTACAAATTATTTTCTACTTTTTAATCTGTTTAAAAACAAGGCATTTTAAAAAGTTGTTTATTAATAAATTATTTATATTTCATTTTCGTTTATTTTTCCTTCTATCAATGTTTTTCAACATTACCCCCATCGCTTCGAAAGGCACTAGCAGACAGATATAAATCTAGTAAGTAGGCAGGTAGTGTGTTTAGAGTTTGCACTGTGTAGCAGTCAACAGCTTCAACTGAACCCAGTACCAAACTTAATACTTTTAATACTTTTACCTAACCCGCCATGTTAAACTTCCCTATCCCAAGCGTGATGTATACAACTTCCTTACTTCTCGAGTGATGTAAAGTTGAAAAAAACTCACTCGGTGATGTAATGAAACCCATTTAATTAACATTGAGTGCTTAACTTAAAAAATATACCTCTATGGAGCCAACGACGTTCAACGCTAGAAATCAGCTGTGCTCTTGAACTTTTTTGTTATGTTTTGAAGAATTTTCCTAACCTAGCTTTTGTTTGTACATGAACGTTACTGTTAGAAGATGAGTGAAATGGATAGTTAAAAATATTGTTCGTAACCTTCTGTATATTGTCGGGTCAGGTAAAATCTTGTACGTTACACGTTACGCAAGAGCGTGTTTACATCACTTAGGTAAATTATGCAGTGATGTAAAAACGCTCTTACTACACTTGTAAGGTAAATAGCTATAATACTTTTCAATGAAATGGCAAACACCCTCTCGGCCACTTTAATTATTTTGTCAAAGATGCATTTCAGTGCATATTTCCTTAGGCTGTTTCAATTAATCATTACTTCAGTTGAGAAAAGTTTTGATGTAAGAACTAAGCTAGGGTGAGTTACTATACTAACTAAAAATCTCCCATTTTCAAATCTTCCTGCATTTGATAAGTTTTGCCAGCCAAACATTCACTAGTCAAGGCCTACCAACTTACCTGGTACCATGTCTATCCTTTTGTCTACCAGGTACACCGTGGTTGCCCTGAGAGCTGCCTCCTTATCCATGGCATTTCCTGGCCTTATAAAGTGGGAGACATCAGCAATATGGACACCCACCTAGCGATAGAACAAGATTAACAAAAAAAATGTTTCTATTGAACTTACCCTAATAATAGGTAACTGTAAAATATAGTTGAGAATTTAGTAGTTTTAAAATATGAATAACATTTTTTGTAATAAAAATTAGACATTTCAGAAACATGATGTCCTTGGACTGGAAAAGGTTATTTATTTTCTAAAGCACTCATTTTGATGTTTTACTGCAAGATACAAAAGGTGCACAGTAAAATATTGATTTGCTTCATAAGTCAATTACAGGTTGTAATATTCAAATCTAGAAACAAGCATTTATTGTAGTAATACATGTAACTGTCTAACATATTAACCATTTTAAATTATTTTAAACTGTTAAACTCAAAAAATTACATTTTAAATTTTAATTTAGAATTGGTTTCCATATTTCAAGGTTTACCAACAGTAAAAGTTGTCTACAAACCTCATAGTTGCCGTTATCCAGCTCTCGGCAGTGTAGGGCGTCATCAATGTCCGTACAGCCTGGTGGGTCTACGGAACACACGACGATGTGCCTCAGATCCGTGCGCTTTTCAACATCCTGCCAACACAACAAAACACCAATCTAAATTTTGGATTCTAAATGTGTACAGGTTGCAGCATATTTCATCACAGGTGCCGAAAGTGCTTTTTTGACACAAGAGTTTAAAAACCAAGGCGATGCTGAGGTTGGAACATTAGCAAGAGTTGAAAAGACCCTTTAGGTCCATTGATTAACAGGATTGTTTCACATACTACACCATAATTAGTGCTAAGTAAATCACAATATAATAATTTTGTTAAACTGTTTAACTTTACACCTATTATACAAACACCTGCTGACCTGTTGCTGTTATTTATTTATTTGCAATTTGTATTACTCCCCCAACACAATAATGTGTTCATAAATCACTGAATCCCTTGTATAATTAACTTCAATTTTTCCAAAGGTCAATAAGGAGTTAGAGATTGTTGTAAAAATCAAATATTCTAAGTGAAATTACCTAAATGAAAAACATTTCTTTCAAACTTTACCAGAATACACATCTTAATCAATTGAAACACAGCCATATGCACATTCAGATAATATGAACCACATGGTTTCATAATAAACAAGAATCAAAAACAAAACAGTAAAACTCTGCTACACAAAACTAATTTTAAGAATGGAGAATTGTTTAGCTGAAGAAAACTTGGATTTGGAAAGCAGTTATGAAACCCAAGAAAATGCAAATGACTCTAAAACAATGAATGGAGAAAGCACCATTTGTAACAAACCAAACAAATCAAAAAGATTTAGGCGGTCCTCCTATGACAAGTTTACAGAAATTAAAAAAAAGTTGAGAAACGTTACAGTGAAAGATTTGGAAAAAGTTTGTGAACATATTGCTTCTCTTAATGAACGAATCATGAATGCCAGAGAAATTACTTATCTTCGATATGAATTACCTGTGTAAGTATATCCATCACAGATTTAGTGTACACTTCCATATCTGTTGGCACAAACGACCGAATGAGAATATCGATCTATATATCGATTATTCGATATATCGTTTAGTTAGTTAGGTAAGGTTAACCTAACCTAACTAACCAAACGATATATCGAATTAAACTAAACAATCGAATAATCAATATTACTCATTCGGTTGTTTGTGCCAACAGATATGGAAGTGTAACCCAGATTTAACCAATCCCTTGCTAAAAGTAAAGAATGACAACAAAATTCTTGAGATGTTTAAATAATTTATTATTACCTAGTTTACAAGAGAGAGAGGGAAAAAAGTATCATAATTTCCTAGCCCAGGTTTTTGGACATTATGCAATTTGGACATGAAGCTCTAAAATAGTTATGGCTGTTATGACACTTTTCTTAAAAATAGTTTTTTGGACATCGTGGTACTAGTTGAAGATATTAGACGTGAAATAGAACTGAATAAGCTGGTCCTCTTGCGCTAGATTTTCCACGAAAACATGCTACATTTTTACTTTCTGGGGATACATAGGGGGCTATACATAGTGTATGGTGAAAGTATTGTTTTTGTCAAAATTTTAGAGTTTGAGTTTTGAGTGGAAATACCCGTTTTGCCCCCCCCCCCCCCCCCGTATTGAACCCAAAAAAGTGGTCTGTGTGTGTGTGTGTTCTGTATGTGTGGATAGACCACACCTGTAGTCCGATTTTGAAAAAAAAATTAGTATGTTGTAGCACTTTAAATGCTGAACAGCATGGTAGAACCCCCATTCCTGTAAAAATTACGGTGCACAAGTTATTGTAACTTGTGTTATTTTCCCATAAAACCCATAAAAACTGAAAAATGAATTTTTCAACCGGTTCTGAATGAAATTTGTCTGTTATGATATTTGTACTTTCAAACAAAATAGTGCAACCCTCATTCCTGTAACAATTACGGTTCCAAAGTTAATGCAACTTTTGTGATTTTACCTATCATAGTTACTCTCACCGCTTACCCATGATAATGGTTTTGACAAGCTAATGGGAGAAAATTTGTGTCAGATTGTTGATACCGTTAATTTTTATGAGCTTTTTAATAAAGGTTTACATCTAGCACCACGGTTCTCCTACAATTGTAGTATTGGTTCAAAAATAACACTCCAATAGCTAGTTCACTTCTAATTTCTTTTGAACATCCGAGTATACTATGATGATACAAATTAGACTAACAAGCTGGGCAAAAGTAGGACAAAAACGATCTAATATGCAATGAAGAAGATCGAATATCATCTATGCCCCCTCCCCGGTGGCGTTTTGGGTTCTTTACAAAATATGTCTTTCTCTGACTTGTGTCAGCTTACAGGAAGATCTTTCATGTTTTCTTCTTCCCAACACAGTTCTGTCTTTATAACAGTAGCAATCGTGATTAGTAAAATCAAAATCCTTCCCTAAGTCTAGATGGAACTTTAACATTCCCTATTAAGAGTGTATCTCTTCTAAGCTTGAAGTTGAAATCAACGCTCTACACTTTTGAGATACAACTGAGAATTTGGAATTGTTCTTAGCTCGATGGTATGGTTTTGTAGCTTTTTTTGTAGCTTACAGTCTGGTGTTCACAGAGAGATGAAAAATCAGCTGGAGATGGAAGCACAAGAACTGGAGAGTTTGTATGCGGAGATGAGAGATGCGACCAGGAACCTAGAGATTGTACAAGCGCAGAGAGCTGCGTTGGGAACTGAGCGCAAATGGATGGAGACGCAGATCATCAAACTTAAATCCGAAGGTAGTTAAATCATCTAATTACCTAGTGAGTGGTATGTTTAAATGGTAATTCACTTTGTCTTGTAAAAAAATAAAAAAATAATAATAAAATAGTACCAGTACAACAAATTAAAGGTGGATTCTCTTTCAAGTTTTCATACTATAGTTTTACAATTTTTAATGTCAGATTTTATTAGATATTTGCTGTAATAAAAGAATGCATGCACTCCTGTTGAGCTGAATGGATCTTGGTTTTTTTTTTTAAGGAAAAGTTTGTTTGGGAAAGGCAAAGTATTGTTTGGGAAAGAAAATAATGTTTAGGAGAGGCAATAGTTATTTTCCTACAGTTACCTAACAATGTACATGTTCTCTCACTGATTTGAGAAAGCAAAGTGGCCAATTCGCTCATCAGTGAGACAATGTTAACATTGTCTCACTCTAATTACTTTGTCTCACTCCAGATTTGCAACGTGAAGGCACGAAATAGTGAGCACGTAACATGCAGGCAACGTCGTGTGCGCGCGAAGTAAGTTGGCAGCACTGGCTGTAAATCAGCTGGTCAACTGTTGTACTGTTGTATTTGACACTTCACATTAAATGTTATATTAAAAGTTCACTTCTGTGTAAAAATAGGTTATGTTTGAAGAAACATAAGACCAATTTATTTGTTTTATGGTAACTGTAGGAAAAGTATAATGTGCAACTCGAGTTCAAAGTACAATTGCCTCACTCGAGAAACCATTCCTCACTCGCCTACGGCTCGTGAGTAAGGATTTCTCTCGAGTGAGTCAATTGTTCACTTTTCTCACTAGTTGCACAAATAACTATTGTCTAACTAGTGTGCTAAATGGCACTTTGTGCTCGTGTTACACATTATATTTTTCCTACAGTTACTATAGTCTTTCAAACACTTTAGAACACGTTTTTAGGTCAGGGTAAATCCAAGTGTTGAACGAAATGGGAAACACTGCACCAGCTGATCGTAGTCGTAGTATCATTAAGTGTTGCTAACTTATTTTCAACCGTACATGCATTACGTGCCTAGTAAAAGTTCACTGTTTTGTGTTGTTTGGTTGGAATACTGGAGTGCGACAAAAGAAAATGAGTGCGGTAAAAGTAAGTAAATGCAGCAATTAGATACTTTGCGTGCTGTAATCAGTGCAAGGAAGCCCACTTTGTCAGGAAATTGTAGGAAAGTGTAGGAAGTTGTAGGAAAGTTACAGTCATTTTATGTTTTAATTGAATGGGAAATAAACATTTTTGTAGGGCTTAGCTGTACACTTATGAGCTGTTTTCATTGGCAGAGTGATGGAACAAATAAACTTTGCCTCAACATGCTGTCAAACATTTTGTATCACATCTGCTAATACCGTTTAAGAAAAGACCTATGTCCGTTGCAGCCGTAGCTGAGATGGAGATGATTGTCTCTGTGTATGACAATGCCATGATGGACAGATGGGAGGATATCAAACAATCTGACTCTGTGCAGGCACTGGAAAACTTTCTTCATGATGTAAAGGTATGTCACAGTTTCAAGTGGTATATGCTACAGTGAATGAAATAAACGGTATCACCAATCTGACCCATACTTTCCCCCATTAGCTTGTCATGGTAAGCGGTGGGAGTAACTAAAATATTTGATTGAGAATATCATTAAAGTTGAGATGGGCGTTGAATTATTTTGTTTAAAGTTAAAAAGGGGCTACATATCACACTGAATTATAATTCAAATTGTTTGAGTCGTTACCTATATATATGGGGTTTTATGGGAATATTGCCATTCAAAATCACATGTAAAATGTAAAAAAAACTAAACGTCTATTGTTAACTTGGATTAGTACCCACGCACCGAATTTCATGTAAATTCGACCACAGGTGTGTTCTGTAGCTCTGTATCCACACACACATACATCATTTCGAAAACCACTTTTTTGGGTTCAGGGACCCAAATTCGGATATTTCCACCCAAAACTCAAACTCAAAACTTTGTTGTTTTGACAAAAACATCACTTTCACTATAATATGTACAGTTGTCGCAGCTAGTCTGGGCGCGCGGCCGTGCTGAGGCAGGGGGTGTAGAGGGGAGTGTTTATTGCTCATTACCAAAAACATCTGGCCCACACGGCTCTCTGGAGTTGTTCAGCCCCTCAGCGCTGTCTTCATGGCTTTGGTGTGGGGGACGGTTAGTACACAAGGGTCCGCGCGCCCAGACTAACTGCGACTACTATACCTATAGGGAAAGGAAGTTAGAAATGATGCTCGCCTTCAAATCTAATGGTTGATGGTTGATCTTCAATATCAAGCTGTGTAGTTTCTGGGGATTTGAGGGTGAATATGTTTTAAAATAAATTTAGACATAGAGATAAAATTTATAAATGAGGAATATTTAGGCTGTTGCATGACATATGGGCCTGCCTCTTAGAATCAATAATAAAAATAATGATGATTTTACTTTTTAGGGAAAAATGGAAGCGATGAAGAATTTACAGATTCTTGGGACAAACAAACTCGCGGAGTTGCGAGAAAAAGAAGGAAAGAAAGAAGTGACAAAAAAGGAGAAAAAGAGAATGAATAGAGAAAAGAAAAAAGAATCCTCGACTAGCTTTCAAAGTGCTTCTAGTTCAAGTTTGAATATTTCCTCACAAACGACGTTCGAGTAAGTAATAATCTTGTGGTTACCAAGCTCATACTTTGATCCATTAAATATGATTGCCTGTTAAATGTTCATTGATAAAAGTAGTGTAAATCAGTAAAAAAAATCAAAAGTTATCAGTTTACTTTGAACTTAAATTGTTTAAACTTTCATTTTACAAATCAAATCACAAACATTTTAATCTTAATTGTACCTGTGAATATAGCCTAAATTTGAGAAAAGTAGGAAGGTATCATTGAAAACCATCGATGGGCGTTATTGGAGTAAAGTATGTGGGCGTAGAAAATATGGGTAAAGAGATGGAGGGTGTTCAGAGGTAGTTGAAAAATGTGCTCATTTTTATAATCTTTTGCATGGTCTAGGCCAGCTGAGGATGTATATCAGCCTCTTTTGAAGCAGAGATAAACTTTAAAAAATTCACATACGACACACAGTATGGCTGAAAGAGAGATTGCTGCACAGGGGATATGGCAAAACACTATTCACTAGAGGTGTGCGAGAAGTTCGATTTTTGAGCCAAGCCGAGCCTAGCCTACAAGCTTGAGAGAATGAATACCGAGTCGGAACAACAAGCTCAAGCCGAGCATTGATTATCGTGATCGCAAAACGCGTCTGCGAGGATTGCACAATCGAAAAATTCAGGGAGTTCAATTGGGATTTTTGTTAACAGACAACCCATGTATGTAGTAAAGAGGTAGTTTTATGTCAAAATTTGCAATAACCTAGTTAGAATCTTTTTTAGTATAGGATAGTTTACGACAGTGTCTTCTATACCTAAACTTGGTGTATTTAGTGTCTTGTGTGTGTCCTTATCATGATTATTTGTAGGCAATAACCTTTGTTAGAATTGTTACACTATGTTGTGTTGCAGTACAGAATCTGATGAGCTACTGGATGAGTCTTCAACCTTAGACAATATTGTCTACAACCTCATGTATGACAATGTACTCAACCTCAACTGGGTGCCGAGTTCTATGGATATAGACTGAGCTTACCTGCATTTAATATTTTTGGGCTTTAATTCAATGCCTTATATGTTAACAGCTTAAAAATTCAGAAATGTAAAATTTAAATAAAGTGTTTATTAATTAATAGGTTACTTCTAGTTTAATTGTACCATTATTTATCTTAGCAATAGGAGTTATTGGAACCTATTTTTTCCAAGAAATAAATTGGGTTTGGTTGAAAATGGCAGTGGTTCAAATTGTGGTTTGGAATCCTGAATCGAGATAATTATTCGATTGTTGTAGGCTGTAGTTTTTGTGACACAGTAGTTATTTGGCCAATAAATTAAACATTTTAACAAGCCATTTCCAATTCAAACACTCCAAAACACATTTAACAAATACCATTTCAAAGTTAAACTAAGATCTTGCAAAAAAATATTGCAAAAAGAAAACAGCATAGCTAGAGGTGTGTCAGCCTGTAATTTTCGATCGCTCGAGGTAACCATCATTATCTCCCACAGTCGTAGAGACATCTTCATTGTCTTCCTCGATTGCTACAAAATCCTGAATATCTTCCTCGCTCACAGAAACATCATCACTGTCTTCTGCGGTTACGGTACATCACAATCGTCTTCCACAATCGCGTAAAAATTCTAAACATCTTCTGCAGTTGTGTATACAGTAGACTCCCTCTTATCCGGACACCTTTTAACCGGACATCGGTTTAACCGGACTACACTCGGCGGAAATGACATCTCTTTAACCGGACAATTTTTATCAGCACATTGGTTTAACCGGACTAGACCGGCAGGGGGACTGAAACGACTGTTCTCGTGGAAAATATTTGAGACCAGTGATCACGTGTCTAAATACAATGCTCTCCTAAATTTAAGTTGAATATCACAGTAAACAGTCCGTTTTAACCAGTTTTTGGGGACGTCGGTTTAACCGGAAAACCCGTTATCCGGACTAGTCTCGGTCTCGAGGAGTCCGGATAAGAGGGAGTGTACTGTACATCATAGTCGTCTCCCGCAGTTACAAAAAACATTATCGTCAAGTCTTTGGAGGGAATGTCGATTACCTGACTTGTCACTCACCTCTGGAGTAATGACCCAAGGTAGTTGAGGTAGGAAGCTTAGCACGGCCTCGGAAAAGTTACTATGAGGAACGTCATGCTCCAACAGCAACACTTCATTCTCCGTGTCCTTGTCTCCGATGTTGCCTAGCGCTCGGACAAAATGACCCTACCAAACAAGCACTAGATACACTACTATAACATTTCAAACAGAAGAATTTGTAAAGGTTGTTTTAATTGCCCAAGCAATAAAAAATTGATATATTTCATAAGACCAGAAATGGAAAAGTTTACCAGGAAACTTTAAACATTCTAGAACATGTTCATGGATAAAAACTTATCTTCAATCATCTCCACATAAAATAGTCAGATAAGTTTATTATTTAATGCATTACCTGTTTTAGCTTCATCATGTTTTCTCACAATGATGCATTTATTTTAGGAGAGGGCTAGTAGTGGCTTTGCCAGTCGAGCAGTCTTTGATAAAATCTTAACACTATTCGCTTCTGTAGACTATATGTTTTTATGGCACTACAAATGTGTCATAGAGTTTGTGACATTTGATACTCTACCAACAATTATTTTCTTTCACATAAATGCAACAAGAGATAAGTCAACAGGAGCAATTGAAAAAAGTTGATATAATTACGACACAACATAAAGTAATATTGTAATTCATAATTTAAAAAAAGTCATAATAAATGCAAAGAAATATAGGATCTATGAAATACTGTATCTTGTTTAGCCACATAGGCTCTATAAAATTACACCCTAACTACAAGATGATACTACTTACAGAAGGGTATCTGCTGTTCCTTGACCATGAGTCGATTGCTACGATGATTCTTTGCTTCATCAAAGCTTCCGCTTGGCGAGTTTCAATACGAACTTTGGGAATCTTGCGATCAGCGGGTACAAATACATGTCTATTGGCCTGAAACAGAAGGTTAATACTTCAAAATATAGTTTATTGGACTGGATGGAAACTTTGTTTGTCAAGAGCCATTGACTATTTTCTACTCTTTCCGATATCATGACTACAGTTTGGCATTTGATTATGCTACACTGGATATTCTGACATAATTGATAATGTGTTGATTAAATTATCGACAATGCCTGTATGGCACTAGAATTTAATTTGCCTTGTAAAGAGTCCTAAGACTTTTTGGTTGGGGTTTTAGTCCAGTTCCGTAGTGATTACTGCATAGATAATGGTGATGTGTTGGTACCTGAAAACAAATAGGCTAGTAATACCAGTAATGAAATTTAATTGTGGCTACCAGTACACTGGTACCAACAGATCACAGGCCTAACGATGACTAAGCACAGTGGCATCAGGCAAAATGCAGGCACAGTAGTTGTATATAGACCCTAGGTGCCAAGTTAATTCGTTCCCATACTTATATTAGTGATGTGTTTAAACATAAATTTAAAACTGGCAAACATTGGAAGAGCGATTGTGAGCAACTGTTACAATCTTTTTGACATTACAATCATCTCCTGCAACTGAGGAAACATCAGTGAGCATCTGCGCAATCACAGCAACAATTTCAAATTAAGTCAAATCAAAATTTCTTTTATTTCGTTTCAAATAAACAATTTACAAGCATTTTACAAATATTACTGTACATGTACAATGTATACCGGTACTGCAATTGCTAAAATAGAAATAACCACAATTAAACCCACATAGGAAAACCTGTGCATGGGAATTTAGATTAGAATGGAATGTCTACCTTGCAGTAGTGTATTTACTTGAGGTGAACTTATGTTGCAAAAGTTGTAGACTTTACAAGACCTGGAGACTGTGGAGATTATAAATCCAGGACAAGACCACTTACCCCTTTGACAGGGTTGACCTGTAGGATGCCGCAGTACTGTCGCCACTTGCGTCTGATTATCCCCACCACCCGTCCGGTCGGCTGTCTCTCAGCAACTTGACGTTGCTTTGCCTTCAACAACTCTTCTTCGTCAGGTGGCAGATCTCCTAAACATTGATTTTTTAATTAGTCAAAAACATTCATGTTGTAAAAAGTAAATATTTTGTGGTCCCTCAGTGAAAATGGCTACGTTTTAATTAGTTACTAGTTGTAGAGCTGTGAAGTTGTTCTTTTAGTCTGTAAGGTAGAGAAAAAAAAACCAGCTGGGGTCAAAGACATCAGCTGTACATTAGCACACTTACTGACTTTGAAGCTATGATTCTTTTGGTAAAGATGGCTTTAGGCCATAAAAACCAAGCACATAACACATAGAATTTTTGGAGCTACTGGCTCTTCTTTAGGAGTAGAGTCTTTCCATGTTCTTGTAGGTTGTGGAAGGAGGAAAAAGAATATACACTGTCTAACTTGGTCTCTGGTTTTTACTAAATTACTACGGTGTTATATACAAATATTTATTTAAACCTGCTGTTTTGCGTAGGATTATTATCTGAGGTTTGTAAAAGAGGTTTATCCCAGAGAACCCTCCAACCTAAAACTATACCCACACTTTTAAAGTATTTACCCAAGTCTGGGATAAATATCTATTTATAAATACCCTACTGGTACCCATTGGGTATTTACCCGGCCCACATCACTTATATTTCGCAAACACTAATAAACCATTTTAAAATAAGTACTAAAGTTTCACATTTACAAACCTGTATCAATCTTCTCGTCGTCATCTTGCAGCACAATCTCGCTGGGCGCAGACCACTCCTCCTCAGGCAGCAGCTCTACGGCTACTGTGTCACCATCCACAGCACGATTCAGGCCCTCTCTGCCTTGCACTAGAATCTGTTAATCAACGTAACCCCTGGTCAGTGGCCATAGTGTAAAGTGTATCCATTTAATTAATTAGCTTAGCTCAAGATTATTTGTAGGACAACTCTGATGCTTTTAGCACTACGTACATCACAGTTTGTCAACTTCCAATCTTCGGTTATCTGACATTCCGTGTTATCTGCTCCTCCCTGTGAATGACGAGTACCATGGAATCAAAAGCTTTTTCCTTATCATTCAAAAAGCTATACAGAGTTAGAGTACATCAAGGCAACCTCTTTTGCTACTACAGTAGAACCTCTTTAATCCGAACCCCCGTAGTCCGAACGCCGCAATTCCGCCGTGGAGGCCGTTTTACGCCGCCGGTGAGTGGGAGCGGTGTTCCTTCACCGAACGGGCTACACGGCCGACGACGACATCCTTCATTGAACGCACTATACGAATGCGCGTGAACGAAGTCAATGACCTCTCTCCTCCCCCACTCATGACACTACAGTCTGCAATACTCCACACTACTGTTTCTGCGCTCAGTGGCTCTCCGTTGTCTCTGAGTACTGGATGTGTTGTTTATTGGAACGTGTATAATGTGTTAGTGTACATCTAATGTTTGGTACAGTACCTTAGTTATAGACTACGTACAGCAGCAGTATAGTGTTAGGATTGTTTGTGATAACAGTGACCGAATAAAGTAAACTAAAATGTCATCTAAAACGTCCCTGAAACGGAAACATAACACTTTAAACATTGAAAAGAAAATTGAAATCATTGAAAGACTTAAGAAAGGTGAAAGAGGTGCGTCGTTAGCCAGAGAGTATGGTGTAGGTAAGTCAACAATTACTGACATTAAAAACAAACAAAATGCCATAATGCAATACTCTTGTAAACAAGACAGTAATGAAGGGCCTAAAAATAGGAAAACCTTAAAATCAGCCAATAATGGGGCTCTCGATGATGCACTGTATTTGTGGTTCACACAAAGAAGGAGCTTGGGTGAGCCAATATCAGGTCCACTTTTTTGTGAAAAGGCTCTTGAATTCAATGTAAAACTCAACGGGCCTATTGATTTTAAGGCTAGCAGTGGCTGGCTGAGTAAGTTTAAGCAACGGCATGGAATAAGGCAACTCAATGTTCAAGGGGAAAGCTTATCTGGTGACACTATGGCTGCAGAAGAATTCGTAAACACATTTCAAGATACTGTAACTGATATGGGGTTTTCACGGGCTGATGTTTATAATGCTGATGAGACCGGTGTAAATTGGCGCTCATTGCCGAGAAAATCGCTTGCATCTCGAAATGAAACTCGAGCTCCCGGATACAAAGTGAGCAAAGACAGGGTAACAGCTATGGTTTGTGCAAACGCAAGTGGTACTCACTCTCTTCCATTGCTGCTTATTGGTAAAAGTATGAAACCCCGTTGTTTAAAAAACGTGACATGTCTACCAGTAACTTACAGGGCACAAAAAAGCTCTTGGATGTCATCTGATATTTTTCTTGATTGGTATTCGAACACATTTATTCCAGAAGTAAAAACGTTCAGAGAGAAAGAATCCAAAACAGGAAAAGTCCTGTTAATAATCGACAATGCGCCCACTCATCCTGACATTGACGCTTTGAACAGCATTGATGAAGACTTCACGGTTATGTTCCTTCCACCAAATGTAACAGCCCTCCTTCAGCCAATGGATCAGGGTGTTATCTCGAAAATGAAGAGAATGTACAGGAAAGAATTGCTTTGGCAACTCTTATTAGCAGAGAGAGACGAAGAAAGTGTGATTGCGTTCACTAAGAAGTTAAACCTGAAGGACTGTTGTTATACTGGTTGTTATACTGTTATACTGGTTGATTCTTGGGCAAGTGTAACAGGGGACAATCTCGCGAATGCCTGGAATAAGCTATGGCCTAAGCCTTTAAACAATGAAGTTGGAAATGAAAACTTTATTGAAGAAGAAGACTCTGAGATCGTCGATGATATCGTCGATCTTTGTCAGGCTATTCCTGGGTTTGAGGAGTGTGACGTGGCTGATACAACCGAGTGGATCAACAGTGACAAGAATGATCCAGGATACCAAATTTATAATGAAGATGAGATTCTTTCCGTCGTCACTGAGGAAAACGAATCTGATGACAGCAGTGAAGAAGAAGAAACTGTTGATTCTGGACCATCCCATGCAGAGGCGTTTACTGCATTAGAGACGGCAATGAACTGGTACGAAAATCAATCTGAATGCTCTTTACCGCAATTGATGGTCTTAAAGAAAATTCGAGACTTGGCAGCCAAAAAATGTACTTTGACATAAGTTCAAAGGAAAGTGAGTGATTATTTTAACGTCTAGTTTAACGACTTTGTCTGATTAGCTCATTGATGAACTCTATACATAGTAGGCCTGCAGTACTGAAGTTCTATATTGTCAATTGTATTTACTGATATCGTAATTGTTTCCACTGTAATACCGTACACAGAACTGTTTCTTCACTTTGTATGTACTACTTTATTAAATAAACGTTGTATTTGACTCTATTAGGCATTTTTCACTTTTCCCGTAACAATTATGATACGTTTCAACCACGTTTTAGCTATTGTTATATATAAAAAAAATATGTTCTGTAATCCGAACAATTCATTAATTCGAACTACCCCCGGTCCCAGTTAGTTCGGATTAAAGAGGTTCTACTGTACTATTAGAAGTCGGAAGACAACTGTTTGTCTCTACTGTCTTGCTTTAGCACATTGCATACAACACAGATCGTCAACTTTCCACATCTGCATACCTCGTGCTTCCCCTCTCATCTTAGTCACAGTGCGGTCAGAAACATGTGGTTGAGTAAACAAGTACACTTTACCTTACGTTTACAGGTAAAATTAAAATTATGGTGTTTTCACTTTGCTAGTCATTTTTAGTGATCTAAAAGTGACTATATAATGGAAAACAACCAAGACCTAAACTTTTAATAGGTTTAACAACTTACAATGTACGTATTAATGTTTAATGTTTTTAACAATGTTTTTAATGTTATGAACAATTTATGATTTTACGAATTTTTTGTTTTATCTGACCCTCGCTTATTAAACCTTGTCACGGCTGATTGAGGTTGGATAATCAAAACTACAATATAAAAGAACAGGTAAAATAACACTTAAAATACTCACAGGTTTGTTAAATCCCTCCACGTTGACTTGGCCTTCGAGGAAGTTTTCCCTGGATGCTTGGAAGGACCCCTGGTGGATCTTACCAGCCTTGATGGCGTCGTGTATCTGTGCGGGAGTGAGGTGAGCCGGGAACAGGTTGTCTCGACCCTCCGCGCTGAAGTGTTGAGCAGACAGCTTGTCTTCCAGCAGCGGCGAGTCTTTCAAACTGCGGACGTAGTCACCCACTGACAAGAGAAAGTTTAATAGCAGTGCTTCTAGGCCTAGGACCTTGTCAAGGGGGTAAGGCTATTCGAGGTGTACAACACCAGGAGGGTAGTCTAGGGGTCCTGCCCCAAACAAATTTGCTATTTTTAAAGCTTTTTTTGTGACTTTTTAAAGCCATTTTCAAGGTCTAGAAAATCTCCGTTGCGTTTTTATGATGAAAGGTATGTTTAAATTTGTACTTCCAGGGTCCAATAGGGAGGGGGCTTTAACCCTAGCAGTGGCCAATGTTACAAGTGGGGAATGGCTAACCCATTTTGGCGATTTTGCAGACCTTTTTTTGAAAATTGATAAAAATTCAATCGTACTAAACCAACCTTACTAGCCAAAATTATATTCATTTCATTTTGTTCAGAAAGAATAGGAGAATGTAGAAATAGTACCTAGTATAATAATGATTTAGACAGTGTATTTTTTCGGTAAAGAGAAAAAATTTCAAAAGCAGCATCTGTAAAATTTTTTCACAGATTTTTTATGGAAAATTCATTATATACATTTTGTAGACTGAGAAAAATAATGGTCATTGGAAATTTCAAGCTTTTACATAAAAAAAACTGATAGACTTTTGTTTCGCCTACTATAGGCCTACCAGCACCAACTGATTAAGCTTCGCTTTTGATTATTCAAGTGAGCAGGATTTTTTTGATCACAGTTACTTTTTTGAATGAAGTCACTTGTGATTCACTCATTTTAAATTTCTACACACCTGTACAAGCTAACAGGCCTTCCTTCTTGGCGAAGTCTCTGTTTGCTGCATCATCGGTGAGAATGACAACTCGTATCTGTTCTTTGGTGGTTGGTGCTTGGCTAAAAGCAAGATGTGCCTCATACCACGCAGCCGCCACTCGGATCGCTCTATCATTACGATCATTCACTTTCTCTCCGGGAATTCTCTCCACATATGTGTCTCTAAGAAAAATGTGAGAAATTATGTGTTAAGTAAAATTATGTTAGATTGCATTGTAATTAATTGCAAGATGGTCAGATTTATATGCGTTTCTTTCTATGAGGTAATAGTATATTGTGATCATTCTAAAACTTAAGTTTTTACGTAATTTTCACAGAATATGGAATATACTGTCAGTATACAATTATTTTTTAGACTGTAGTTGGGCCTATAGAAGAAAATATTTTTTACAAAGCCAAACACAAACAAATCTGAATTTTGTTTATAGCGACCTAAGGCAACAAATAAGAACAACTAAAGAACGAAAAGAGAAAATGAGTTTTAAATTGCATAACATATGAATAAAACTCCTGATTAGACAGCCTATGAGCTCAAGATAATGTATTTTAGTTTAAGTTTTAGGCCTACTAGTAATCCATGTTTTAACATCATGTCTTTTGTGAAAGGCAAGTTAATAACTTCATCAACTTACTTGTGGTGCTCGTTAACAAATGTGTAGACATGTCTTCTGGAGTCGCCAATAATTTCTTTCAGCCTCTTATAGATTGGAGAGCTTCGGTGTTTTACCTCCTCCAGAACGGTTTGCAATACAATTATATTCTTTAACGTATCTTCCTCGAACACATCAATCTGAAAAATACTAAATTAGGCTAGTCTTGTATGGAAATTCTATATAGTATATTAGGCCTAAGGCTTTAGTTGTAAAACAAGGTGTTGAGTTTGAGTGTTATTTTATGTAAATAAAATAAAAAGTAGTAGGGAAAGAAAATACCCCCCCGCCGCAGCAAACCTGCCGTCTTAGCGAATTTCCATTTGGCTGAATTGATTTTCAATTGATCTATTTAAATAACATTAGGTTTAACGAGTACCTAGGTTTGCTGCTACAAGGAAACTAATAAAGTGTGTGTTTTAAGTAAAATAATTATTGCTTAGTATAAAATGAATATATTTGCCAAGTTTGATCTAAAGATATCCATAAACAAGCAAACTACAACATTTTACAATATTCTCCATAAGAATAACATGGGAATTTTAAATTGACCATTTTTTTTTGTTTTCTCCGTAACCAATAACCGTACAAAAACACTTTGATATACTGAATTGTTTGTTTTTTTAAGCTCTTTAAGAAGGTTTAGAGGAAAATTGGGAAATTTTGTGTTTTGAGGGTCAAAAGTGAGAAAAACCAATTTTTACCCCATAAAATCCCCCATAAAACCCTGTTCCCATGGTCCGATCATGCTGGATCGCGAACTCATTCAAGTTTATCCCGCCTTACACCTTTAAACCAAATTTCATCAAAATCGGATAAAAATTACTCAAGTTATCGTGTTCACGGACACATATATATATATACATATATAAAAACTAGCTGTAACCCGCGGGCTTTGCCCCGTTTAACTTCTTAATTTTCAAGATTATCTCGTTCGCATGGCTCAATCACGTCCTGGTTGAAGTTTGTTCGCTACGCTCACTCACCTTTGGGTTGGAGCTCGTTCGCTACGCTCACTCACCGTTAGGTTGGAGCTCGTTCGCTGCGCTCACTTGCCTTCAGGTTAGCTCGTTCGCTACGCTAACTCGCCTCCAGGTTGAAGTTCGTTCGCTACGCTCACTCACCTTTTGGTTGCAAATTAGCTGTTGTCATAAATGTAAAAGAAATAATAGTGCTGCACTCTGTTGGTAATCCTTGTAACTTTAATGCTATTGAACATCACAGAACAGAACCAACTTGTTTAATTGAAACAGCTGTTAAGATTCAATAATTCCATTTCTCATAAGGTTAACATGGGAAACTCCAGAGCCACTGGGGCGGAGCCCGAAAGGATTTTTGAAATAAGAATATGCCTATATGTTAATCGGGAATGTGAGCTATCATCATGCCAAATTTCAGCCCAATCCGACCAGTATTTTTCGCGTTCACTTGTCACAAACATACATCCATACATCCATACATCCATACATCTAAACTTTCTCATTTATAATATTAGTAGGATTTGAACGAATGGTGTTTTTGGCCTCTGGGGACATCAAAATGAAAAAGTAAATCGGTCCCGGGCCTAAGTGTTACCATGAGACCTACGGTAATAGCTACTTCCCTATAGGGAAATTCGCTAAAAGAGCCAATTGATTTCAGGAAAGCTAGATTTAGCTTACAGTTTACACCCAAATAACGTATATGATGATCTAAATTACCGGTAAGTTATGTTGGTTACTTTTATTTAGCCCTGTTTTGCAATTACTGCAAATTTTCAATCACTTATGTTGCAAAATTACTGTAGGCCTTACTGCACTTTTTAATTCATCTGCTGAATGTTTTGTACATCTTTGTCAATTATCAACTGCTGGAATAAAGATTTAATTTATTCGAATAAGTTGTTCGATCATAAGCATGTAGCCTACCCTACTTTACAGTACCTGACTTAAGATGCGTTGCTTTATAAAAAGTAAAGATGCTAAATACGGTACCTACGTTTTCAAGAATTTGTGAAATAATTTATTTTGGAGAAAATTAATGATATGAACAACACAAAGGCTTAAGACACTAACTGAGAAGCAAAGAAAATCGTGTGCTTGAGTGAACAAACTTACCTGATCCAAAACCACATTTGTGTCCAGCATCAGGTAATGTGGCTGTGGAAAGAGACTGCTAGCAGATACTGGTTCATCTGATAAAACCGGATCTCGTTGAAGACAATTCTCACAAATCTGAGATCCACACCAAATGTCATCTCTGAGATAATGCTCTCGGACGATCTGAAATACAATGTCGAGTAGGATGCAAATTATAAATAATGTCAAACTTTAAGGAAAAATTTTAATAAGTTACTTATACTTTATTTTGAAATGGCGGCCATACGAATGTAGGTATTTTAAGCCAAATGAATAGAGATGAGTGTAGGATGAGTGGCGTGATCTTGTAGACTTGTTAGTTACTAAGGCTGACATTCCTTAGACGGGACACAGCTGTTAATTAATATTCCATACAGCCAATGGCAGCTAAGAGACCTACAGTTTAGGTACTTACGTATTAAACGGAGGCCACATATTTTACAGCGCGCTGCAGCGGTTATGTTAGGTTGGGTTATCATAAATATATGTTTTTTTATCAAATTAAACTATCTTAACCTAACCTAACCAACCAAACTTGCTGATGGTAAAGGTTTACTAATCGAATCGAATCTGTAGGTTAGGTGGCCTCCGTTTAATACGTAAGTACCACAGTTTATTATGGAATCCGAACTACATTTTGCCTTGTATTTAAGTTATTAACTAATTGGTCTAATTATTAGGATAGTAGCCTACTGATGGGAATAGAGTGTCTGTGACTAACTTAATATAGGCCCTAACTTAAACAGTCAAAGGTTTTACCTTTTCGGAGTGTAAGCCGGTGCTAAATATAACATAATCCTATACCTACTTCTGCCAGCTAACTTAGGCCTAACACTAAAATAATTTTAAACTAGGCCTAAATTATTAGTTTGACACGTTCGCTGCTACGAACGTTCCGGAACGTCAGACCGGCCACGGCGCCAGGAGCTAGGAACGTTCCAGAACGTCGCCGTTATTGTTGTTTAACGCTTCCATGGATCAGCCAGCTCGTCACGAGCGTCCTATATTTCTTTGCAGCTCGTCGGGACGTACTTTTCTGACAATAAAAAATATAGTTTCCCAAAATCACAACCAGGGTCGTATACAACAGGACTTTGTCCCACCTCTTTCCTGCTAGATAGCGACACTACTTTACCGACTGCAACCTAAGTAGTGCTGCTATCTATCAGAATTGCTTGGTCCACTATGTCCAAAGCCAGTTTTATTGCAGATCATTGCTATCCAGTATAACTACTGTTGTTTTTACTGCATTTCAGTGTATCAGCGGCAATGTTACGCAGCGAACGTGTTAAAATAAACTAATTTCTATTCAACTTATTAGTTTAGGCTGCCCTAGTTTGTAGACCAAACTAACCTTCAGAATGTTTCCCCTCTTCGTCTTCTTCAAAAATATTTTGTTTGTTAGCATTATTTATATTGCTGAAACTAATCAAATTAAAATCACATTAGTAGACCTAGTATTCAGAACAACATACAGTACAACTAATACACCACACCACACCGTGCGAAGGAACGAAACCATAACATAACATAACAACACATAACCTAACAAAGCATAAAACTAAAACAAATTTACTAACCAATACCAATAGGGATTAGGGAATGGAATTCACTGTCACTCACGTTAGTGATGGGCGATACGGACGCGTATCGCGATACAGCGATACGATACGTATCGGAAAAAAATATCGTATCGCCGTATCGAATCGGACGTCTGTATCGCGATACGCGAATCGTATCGTCAAAAATATCGAAAAACGATACGTATCGTATCGTTTTCCCCCTCCCCTACCTAACCTAGAAACGGCAAATTTATATAAGTACCTGGGGACCGAGCTTTGCTCAGGGAAAATCATTAGTTTACTCTGAAAACAGTCTAAGTATTGCAGATACTTTAATCCATTCCCACACTCCAACACTGCTCGCCTTTACTACTTCCTTCCTTCACAACTCCCTACGTCTTGGACCTGTTTCCCTATCCTTCCCATAGCATTTTAGCATTGCAGACACATTAATGTAATTGCCACAGACAGTTCCCACACTCTGAACTGCTAGTGCTAGATAGAACGCTAGTGGAAATGGACTGGACTGGGATGGGACTGGTACATTATAAACTAAAAACCAAAAATACAGACGTCAAAAATTCCTATTTCAAACTACACATCCACAGAGTACAGATTTTGCAGTTTGCTCGGCCTGCGCAAAAAAATATCGTTTTGACATGAATCGTATCGCTCTATGTGCCGATATAAATACAAATATCGTTTTAGGCGATACGATACGTATCGTTTTTCAAATATCGTATCGAAATATCGTATCGTCCCTCGCGTATCGCGATATTCCGATACGATACGATACGTATCGCACATCACTAACTCACGTGGTTGGTTGGTTGTTTTGGGACACAAGCACGCACAGAGTAAGACCGTTGACTGGTATATTAATTGTCCATGGTAAGACTTTTTTCTACAACATTTTGACTTTTTTTTAGCTTAAGTTTAAAACTAAAATCAAATAATTTCCTTGAAATCTTACTTGGAATTTATAAAAAAAAATATTGTTCTTAAGTACAGTTTTGTACTCATAATCTCGAATCTAAATCAAGGCTCTAAAAATATTAGAAATTATATTGATTTTGATGAGATTCCTCTATGTCCTGTGTAAATTATCGGTCATAAAAAAATAAACAAAATTCTCCAAAAAAATCTCAAACGTCAAAGTAGTATCAATTTGATAGGGTTTGTTTGTTTTGGTTTTTATGTGTTTCGTTTGTGATCTGAAGATTAGTAAGAAATATTACAAGATTGTTTGAATAAACCTAAAATGGGATTGTGCAAATCATGTTTGAAAGGTTCGAGTTCAGATTACACAACCCCTGACATGGTAATTATGTAAGAATGGGCAACTTGATGTAATATAACTTAACTTAGGGCTAGGTTCCCGTTTCCAACTCCTATGTTTTATTTTAAGGTCAACTAATTTATTAACTTAATTACTATCAACTTAATTATTGGTTATTTTATCAACTTAATTCTCGGACAAATCATTAAGGGTAGTAAGTTACTTAACAGTTCTGAAGTTACAATGTTCACTTTTAGGCTATTGCTGTAAGCCTGAGAAAGCCTGGCTTCCACTCCCAGCGGTCCACTAAACTTTTGTTTCCCGCAGAGTGTCAGTATCGGTTAAGATCAGAGATAGTTGACGACTAAAAGTGGAAGATTTGTTGCTGCAGGCTTTTGTGCAAGCACCTAGTAGAAATAAAAAAAAACTAGGGGTAGTGGAGAACTGTCCCCCCTCCAGGCATTCCAGTAAGGCTTTCCTGTAGTTTGTGTCACGTTTCTTGGAAATTATGCATAATAAGGTGACCATCTGGGGACCTACAGCAATTTTATATATATCACCAGAATCAATATGTTTAAGTTAGGCCTACCTACCTGAAAAAAATTGTGCAAAAATCTTTTTGTAGAGACAAGAAGTAGGCCCTGATATAGGCCAAAATAGGTAAACTACAAACGTTTGAATTTTATAGGCCTAATTGGCAAAACAAAAATTTCTGTTGCAAACCTTAAAAAACTGTTTGCAACAGAAATTTTTGTTCCCACCTGAAGTCGGTAAAGATCAAAGGGAGTTGCAAACTTATGTTTGCAACACTGGTTTCAGTCACTATGTGCCATTGAAACACGAAACAGAAAAATTTCCCCGCCATCCCCTACACTGCCACCTCCACTCTCACTCGTGTGATCACTCGTGACCACCCTGTGTCTCGACTCAAGTGTCATTACCCTGTCAGGACTGCTAGTAGTTATATCATGCGTGTTGTGAGTGATCAGTGGTGAGTGACAATGGAAAATTAACTGAATGAGATGGAGTGGGTAGATGACAACATTCTAAAGTTAATTAGCTTGTACAGAGAACAGCAAGTCCTGTGGAACCAAACTACTTCCGATTACAAAAATAAAAGAAATCCTTGAAGAAAAAATCCAAAGTTTGAACCATTCCTCTCAAAACTAATAAAATGTAGGCCTAGTGGCGTTGGAACACAAAATACTACCTATGTCTAAACGTTCATCAGTCTCACTTATCTATCTTACTGTGTTGCCTGTAGTTTTCAACCTTTTACAGAGAGACTACTTTTAGAAGAGACTTTTACAAAACCAAGCAGTACAGTTGAATTTTGTTTTCTATAATCATTGGTTGATGAGTAATTACCATATAGTTTATTAGGATAGGTACATTTGAAGTAGATATAAGCGTCGCATTCTCCCTGTCTTTCACAGTTATCACTTATTTATGTATATTAACTTGAAGTTAGTTGTTTTTCATATTATGTGATATGCCCATTACAATCAGCTTACTTGTAACATTAATATTAACTTATATACAGATATGTAAAATTTTTATATAAATTTATAACATCATAACTAACACACAGGAAACCAGAAGGAGGCAGCAAGTGGAAGCTGTGGAGAAGCGATTAAAAGAGCAAGAAAACCGCGGGATAAAAGATCCTGAAAAAGTTAGACGTATGCAAGAAAGGTCTAATGAACTGGAAAGGTTGGAACGTGAAGCTGCACGGTCTAACCAAGAGTCAGGATTAAAGGTACCTAACAAAAAGCTGCATTCACCCGAAGCCAGTTTGCGAGCAGGTTACCTGCCTCAGGCTCTTTGAAATAAACTAAAGGCAAGTAACCAGCCCGCTCTACTGGCCTGGTTTGAACGTAGCTTTATGCAAAGTAGCTACAGGTACAGTAGTTAATTTATGCCAATGTTAAATTTGATAAATTAATACTTTTATTTAATTTCATTATTTGACATATCCTAAAGAAGTTTTAGCCCTACTTACAATACTAATAGATCAATGCAGTTTTCTCCATTTAATTGCATGAATGAATAATTACATAAACGATGGTACTTAAAATAAATTGTAACATAGTATTTGGTGATATCGACTTTAATAAATGGAAAACTAAAGTAAAATAAATATACACACAAAGTAGCCTATTGCCTGGTTGGTTCTACAATGTGATATTGATATTTTATGTTCAAGTGGCAAATGAATTGAAAAGCTGTTAATCACCAAGATTGCCTACGTCTACGTCATCACTATTTACTTGAAGAATCTCTGTGTCAATTCACCCAGCGTCTCAACCAATGTACCGTGTTCACTTTGATACAGCTATTTATATGTGAAAATGCTTTACAGCAAAAATATTTATACACCGGTTATGCTGGAATATTTTGTTAATTTTATAAGTTTTTGTAGATTTTACACTAAGTCATAAATTGTTTTTTAAGTTTTGTTGGATAATTTATTAAAATATGTGTGTTTGTTAAGCTGGTGTTTTATGACTCGTTTTTGTGTGGCTGCCGTAATAGTTAAAAGATGTGCTCGGTGTGATGAATCCGTTATTTAGGATACTAGTAAAATATACTGAATTTTGCTTTGAATCGAGTCAGAACTCGCTAATGTAGGGCTAATAACTCATAGTGGCAACTCAGGAAAACTCTGCCTCAGTTCTGTTTGAACTAGGACTCTGATATACATCGTTGTTGAATTGTATTGGTGATTCTGAAAACTATACTGAGTATTCAACTCAGAATTGCAGCACAAAGAATCACCTAGCGACAAAGTTCATTAAATAACCACAGAGTCTAGTGTTCCAGTCGATATTCGGATAGTCAACACCTAACGAGTAAAGTACTGACTAATCTATAGGTGTTGTAGTCCAGCCACAAAGTCATAGTTTATTGTTTATTTAGCACTACCAAAGCATCCTCTAATACAAGGCCACTGTGTTGGTATGTGGCAACATCGCAACGGCTGGCCTATTCCCATGGTAATAACATCCGTCTAAACATAAACATTGCGCAAACGCTCCATTATGAACAAGTGTAACAGCTTTTTCAGTAGGCTGGGTATGCGGCTGCCACTTTTGTCTTGCCGAGGCCTTGTATTAGGGGAGGCGGTGGCACTACCCTGTCCTGATTGGGTGGAAATAGATGGCATTATTGGGTTTACTAGGAATTGCGTACTCCTGGCAATTCTTTTCAATTAACAATACAATTTCTTTTCTGGCTTTGATTAAATATGGACATATTGTGTTGAAATACAATGCCAAGAGGCATGAAACAAAATACCTAAAAAAATTACATTGATTATGACATTATGAAAAATGTCCACCTTTTAAAATGGATTAAGGTGACAAAATGTCAAATGTGTGACGAGTGAGATGATAGCTTTATTACTAACTAAGCTCAGCTGATTTGTCTTACCCCAACAAACATTTCTGGACAGTAAATAAAATCACAAATTAAAAGGTTGTGGGAAAATAATGTAGACAAATGGTTATAAAACAATTTTATTATAAAATTAACAATTCTATAAATATTGTAAAAATATTCAGTGTTTTACTATGCTTGAGAAAAAATGCAATTACAACAAATACCCTCCAAAGGTGTGTTTAACACAAGACCAGATGGTGGACAGGTTACTTGCCTTAGGTAACTTGAAATACATTATAGCACAGAAAACGTACTACTATAACCCAGAATGCCAACCGCATGGTAAAAAGCATTAAGCGTTTTGAGAGAGCTTTGCCTGTCAATCCGTAGGCAGCACCACCAGCGTTGCTATGCTGAGTGCATGGCAACGCTGGTGGCACTGCCTACGGATTGACAGGCAAAGCTCTCTCAAAACGCTTAATGCTTTTTACCATGCGGTTGGCATTCTGGGTTATAGTAGTACGTTTTCTGTGATTATAGGCAAGTAACCTGCCTACTCTACTGGCCTCATAACACAGCTTAAAAACAAGATCAACATATTTCAGATCTGTTTAATTTGTGATTAACCAAGGCAATACTGTTCAAAGCAAGTGCTTGTACGAGTGGACGGAATTAAATGAGATTTTTTAATATTATTGCAGTCTTTCTTAATGTAATGCACTATTTAACTTGCATCTATTAATATAGTAAGTGTAACATCTATATATCTAATTCCGTAAGCCCAAAATTTTACAATGAAATTGTGAGCGAACGGGAGGCCCTAGAAAGCTGGGAGAGGTTTTATTTTAAAGGTCTGGGCATGAAATTTTGGGGAAAATTATTCATCTTTCTTAATTATGCACCAAAAGGTTGTTACGGAATAAAATAATTCACATTTAAATAGCATGGGAATCTAATATAGTGGGGGTATTTTTATTTAGTGTAAACACAGCTGTGATTATATAAATTGAAAAAAATACTACCACACCTGATAGTGCATTATTTTGTTATTGTAAAAATTGTTAGTGAAGTAGTAAACAACACAAAGGGAAAATTAGATAATAAAATCTTTTGAACAAACAATTTGATCCTTTTCAACTGTTTACTTTACAATGGATTGTTCTTTTACACAGTAATAATGTATAATGTCGAAATACTACCACGTAGAGGTATTGTTCCTCAAAATGAGAACAACAGGTGCCACATTTGGCACGATACTGTATTAATGGAAGAAGAATAGATGAGCATCGGATGAACATGAATTTAACTTTGAAATGAGATTGCATTAGGACCAATGAAGAAGTTAGAAAGTTTATATTATAAACACACCGCATCATGCGGTCCGCATGTCCTTTGGAATTTATATTTTAAACAGAGCTGACATCAAAATGCATTATGCAGGTTTGTAATAACTATTGTACATATCATAATATACAAAATGTTAAATGATAATTCAAGTTAGTTTAACCCATGAGACTAATAATTTGTACAAAATAATTACTAGAATATAGGGGCTATTGCCCCTACAAGCCACTAGTTTTAATGTATTTGTATTATTTAAAAATTCATTTTATGCTACCTAAAAATACACAAAAATTGCATTTGTTATATTTTTGAAACCCAATTTTTAAATATTTACAATTCAAGTTTTTATTCACACAAAACCATGTTTGAATGAATGCATACTTTTTTCTTGGAGAACAAAGTATTAATGGAATGATATTTTTATGAAACATATAAATGACCTAAGGTCAATTCACAAGAGCTTAGTAGAAGCTAAAAATATATTATTCTTGACTCTTTAAGAGTTTTGATAAAATTCATTTGCACATATAGCTTAAACTCTACATTGCTCTTAACTTAAAATTAGTAATACCTTAACCTAATCTACCTAGCAGTCAATAGTTATTCTACTGTTGATTATTTTATTTTAAAACCACAAATCTGGTTTTAAATTGCAGGCAGTGAAAATCTGTCTTCCTTCATTATTTATTTTTGGGACATCTAGTTTTTGGAGATAGGGAAACATATCTACGAAGCAGTAAAAGTACTGATAAGTAATTCAAGGGGCGTGGAAATTGGGTTTTAATATGTTTAAAGATGGATCTAAAAATCAACACCCGCCCAACGACTTTTCTGCTGAATTTGCTAATTTCCGAGTAAACACACTATTTCGGTCCCCAAGGCACTTTATTTTCACAATTGATCTTGTCCAAAAAAGGCTAACACAAAATGACATGTGTTATACATTTATGGTCCTTAATGCATCAGAAAAAGATTCATTCTCTAAAACAATACTAGCAGAACACTACTGTGATGTGAAACTTACAATACCACACGAACATCTAGTCAAAAATATCTACCATTTTAAATTGACAAAATTTACTTGTTGTACAAAAAATTCATAAATATTCTATTTATTCATGGCATGTAAAAAAAGACCATTTAATCAGTTAAAAATAACCTATTTTTACCACTGCCTAAGTGTTGGCTACACTTGCAAATCATTTCAAAATTGGTCAGAAATCTTTATAGACTAAAGCAAAATAATAAATTTAAGAACGGTAAAGATTAAACTAATTTTTATTACGACAATATTTATCATAAAAATCATCATGTCATATTTCAAACTAATTTTAACTAAGTTTTAAAAAATTTGTATAAGGTTTTAAGAACTACAAACACTGAAAAATGTTACAATAATATCTTGACATGCACATAAGTCCCAAATTGTTTTATAACTAGTCATCCAGTAGCAAATCAAACCAAATACAGTTTTCAAAAAAATAGTTAACAATAAAAAAATTCCGTAGGTATTTTGACAATACAATCTTATAAAAGGGCTAAAATTAATATAAAATGCGGATATTTTATATTAATTTTAGCATTACAGATAAAAGTATAAAACAATAGTTTTTTTTAGACTCTTAACACACTTTAAGTAAAACAATTGAGTACCGTAGTTAAGATGATTAAAAAAATAAATTGAACATTGGCTATACAATTTGTTCTGCTACCTTATTCTAGAAAATAGCTTTTGAAATAGTTAAGAGTAAATATCTACATGTTCAGTGTTGCGAAGCAAAGTCTTTACAGTGTATGTTGATGATAATCTATACAACTTATGGCAAGGACTCTTACGGATAGAGTAACTCAATGTTGGGCATCTGCATCTCGTAAATAATCTGGTACTGCGAGTATACACACAACCAGCAATAGATCTGTAAAAATCGAGAACGGGTAAGGATAAGTAGCTTAAATTAAAGGATCTATATCCTAAATGATATACACTCTAAGAATCCGAGGGCTAGGTATCCAGAAAGAAATAGACAACAATTTTTATATAATCGGTAGAGTAAAGGCGAACTCAATGGCAGGCTGTTTTAAAAAAAAATCAACATTTAAACTAGGACATTCACCATAACCAGACACAAGATTTTCAATGTCTTTTTTGTAAAAATTTGCTGCATGTAAGTTCAATCACCAGTTTACATTGACATACTCAACACCAGTGCCCATTGTTGCTTAGCAAAACACGTTTTCATTGCTAGGAATAAACAGTTGTCGCTAGGCAACACATTTTGGCTGTATGGTTGTTGATACAGAACATTCCATCTAAGAGTCCTTGGGTGCAATGGTTAATTGGCAATGTCACAGAAAAAAAGTTTTCCGTTAAGTTTCCGCCTGACACTTTATTTGCAGTGTGCATCTTAGATTTTAAAGCATTTTGCAATAACCCGTTTAAATGATTCTTTAGAATGGTCAAGATCAACAAGAATACTCCCTGAGCTTCTTCAAACACATAAGCCATGACTTTCTTGCTGATAGAGTCTGCAGAGACTTTGTCAGTTCTTACAAATGTGTTTGGCCCTGTTTTATTGGCTGCCGTTTTGTTTCACAGTTGTTCCGCTTTAACCAGGTCTTGTCGCTAGTTCTATGTCGATGCGATCTATAACTTTACTTACACTTTTATCACACTCTTACAGAAATGTGCTTTGTTTTCACTGGACTTTCTTCAGGATTCCTGGAACTTACCTGGCACTGGATTTGTGGTATCCAGGTTCAACCACAGTTTAATCAACCTTACTCCACCACACTGGAAACACTTACTGACACTTCAATTATGGCGAAATGATGATTTTCACATATTTAATAGATTTTCACCACCAATTCATCAACCACAAAACTAGGTCTACCACTGGTATTCTCATCAACATTGGTTCATCCATTTTTGAAACAAGGAAACAATTTGTTACTTTTGATTGTTCCTCCGTAGTAAACACCACAAATTCGGCTGTAATTAATATTTATTTTACTTTCACAGCTGATTATAAAAAAGTATGTCACTATTTAGTAGAAAAATAAGTAAACAACTTACGTTATATCCCATCCACATCCAATTGACTATTGCTGGAGGAATTATGGCCAGCTGAAACAGAAAACTATTATTACTACTAAATAAAAATAGAAATCAACTTTCTTTGAGGCCTGCAGTGGAATACAGCAAGTAAATTTAAATTCCATGAAATATAAGGCCTGTTTTAATGTAAACTTATGTTTCACTCACGGTTGTGTTTGAGTATAGAAGTAATTAAGGTACAGATGATATTCATGGTACACTTAGGTGGTGTCTAGCGCCAGTGCTGGTGTCTAGCGCCAGTGCTTGTGTCTAGTGCCAGTGCTGGTGTCTAGCACCAGTGCTGGTGTCTAGCGCCAATGCTGGTGTCTAGCTCCAGTGCTGGTGTCTAGCGCCAATGATGGTGTCTAGCGCTAGTGCTGGTGTCTAGGGCAAAGACCCCTCTCCACCTCCCTCGCCATCATGTATTACAACGCTCACGGTGGAGGAAGACCCTGTGTCCTGTGCGATATGAATTTCAGAAAAGTGCTCGCCCTTTGTGTTCTTCCTCGCTTGTCACTAATATATTCCCGCCCCAAAACTTACCAGAGCTGAAAGCGCACGGTCGTCCTAAAAGGTTGTATCCTCTGTATCTTACTTCTCTGTTGTTTGAGTCAACAATAATTGTTTCTTTTGGGGTAAGTTTTACAGTTTGTGTTTCACTCTCTAGCTATTAACATCAGAGGAGAAACAACAGTTTAGGCCTATAGTTTACATTAACTTTTAGATGTACTGGTAACTTAATACTCACGTAAATGTAGTAGCCGTACACCAGCCATATGCTGAAGAGGAATTGTAGGATGATGAGAAACATGACAAGTATGAGCCACGGCAGCATGAGACCTCGGTGAGTGAGGTCGATGCCTCGAACCATCAGAACAGACGCACCAATCAGTAGCAGCAAGTATATGATGAACATCCAGCCATAGTACTGCATAGCTGAAACATCCGTAAACTCAGCAGCAAGTAAGAGGGAAAAGTGTAGAAAACGACTTTGATGGAAGAAAGTACGCTACTTCTAATGGTTATCTCTCTTATGGATCTTGAAGTGTAAGATTTTCAATTTAGGTTATGAGATGATAGATTGGGCTACTTTTCAAGAACCACCCATCCTTCCTCTCGATGATCAAGCATGAAATAGCAGTTTTAGGCTTGCTGGGTAACCTACAGCAAAGATACCCAACCGCAACCCTCCCCCACTGGAGGATCAAACACAAGAGAAATTGTGAGCGATTTCTATGAGCTGGTCTATTACTGTAGCTAAAACAAATATTTTTATGCCACATGTTACATCCTAAATGTCTATCTTTACTTATTGATTATTTATTTTATAACTATTACCAGCTGGTTATAATGTTTACTTCTTCACTTTGTTTTTAATTTGTGTTGAATAAAGTTGGTTAAAATTGTACTTTTACAAATACATTTATTATTTGTTCTAATTACATACAGAACAATTTGGCGACGATGGAGGTGAGTACAAGTAATTCAAATACCTCTCAAAACATTCAAATGATTAACTCAGCATTGATTGGACCCTTTAATGAAAGATATGAAACATGGGAAATGTATATGGAAAGACTAGAGATATCATTCATTTATAACAACATTTCGGAAGATAAAAAGAAAACTACGTTACTTCACTGTATTGGATCAGACACTTACAGTAAACTTAGGGATATATTGCATCCTGTATCACCTATAACTAAATCCTATGCTGAATTAGTTCAAACTCTTAATTCACATTTTACACCAAAACCAATTGACATTTGTTCTATGAATACATCAGAAGATAAATTTAGGAAAATTATGTTAAACATAAAAATAAATGGGAAAACTATTCCGTTTGAACTAGATACAGGAGCAGGGGTATCTTTGATGTCAAAAAGTAACTTTTCCAAGTTTTTTCCAAAACACAGACCTTTAATGAATCCAGACATAATATTAAGAGATTTCAACAAAAATGAATTTGTTCCATTGGGTAAAACCATTGTTCAGGTTGGTTACGGTAACCAAACCAAATATCTTCCATTGTATATAGTCGATGGTAATAGAGATACGATATTTGGTAGGGAATGGCTGAGATCGATTAAAATAAATGGGTCAGATATAAATAACGTTCACGGAGCTGACTTGAATAGAGTTAAACACTCAAATCCCAAAGTACACGATATTTTAATGGAATTTAAATCCATATTTGAACCAAGAGTTAGAAGTTTCAAAGGGGGAGAAGCACTTCTTAACTTAAAGCCTGACACTACACCAGTTTTTAAAAAAGCTAGACCACTACCTTATGCTTTGTTACCAAAAGTTAGTGCAGAAATCGACAGACTAGAAAAAGAAGGTATAATTACAAAGGTGAATCAGAGTTCTTGGGCTACTCCAGTTGTACCGATTATGAAGGCAAATGGGAATATCAGACTGTGTGGAGACTACAAAGTAACCCTCAATCCCCATTTGGTAATACCAGAACACAACATGCCCCGCATTGATGATATTTTGGCCAGAATGGGTAATTCGACTAAATTTACAAAGATTGATATATCCGAAGCTTACCTACACATGCCAGTGAAAGAAGAATACAGAGAATTGCTCACAATCAATACACACAAAGGTCTATATCGAGTAAATCGTCTACCATTTGGAATTGCAAGTGCACCTGCTATTTGGCAATCAGCAATGGAAAATATTCTACAAGGTATTGATGGTGTTGATGTTTTCTTTGACGATGTCAAAATAACAGCCCACAGTGAGGAAGAACATTTGAAAAGACTCCGTGCTGTATTAAATCGGTTCAAAGACAACGATTTACACATTAATGTTTCTAAATCTCAATTCCTTGTACCAGAGATTGACTTTCTTGGTTACCATGTCTCGTCAAAGGGAATAAGTAAAAGTAAACATATTACTGAAGCAATAAGAAACCTGAAGAGACCAAGTAATGTGAAAGAAGTTAGACAAATCCTTGGGTTGATAAGTTACTATCGAAAGTTTATTCCAAACTTAAGTGAAAAGATGCAAGCTATTATTAATCTCACAAGAGCTAATGTACCTTTTAATTGGACTGAAGAATGTGAACGAGATTTTCAATTGGTGAAGGAGGAAATGATGTCAGAGAATATACTATGCCATTTTGACCCACACTTACCACTCATTCTAGCAACAGATGCTAGTCAATCTGGAATTTCGGCAATTCTTTCTCATGTGTTTCCGGATGGAAACGAAAGACCTGTTGCATTTGCTTCCAAAACACTATCACAAACACAAAAACAGTACAGTGTCATACAAAAAGAAGCCCTGACAATTTATTTTGGAGTTAAACACTTTTACCAATACCTTTATGGACGTCATTTCACCCTAGTTACAGACCACAAACCCCTGGTATCAATATTTGGACCGAAAAATGGAATACCACTTATGGCCGCAACAAGACTACAACATTATGCTATATTCCTTCAGGCATTTTCGTTTGACATAAAGTATAAATCAACCAAAGACAATGTTAATGCTGATGCACTTTCAAGACTACCTAAAAATTTTGAAGAAGCTGCTGTTACTGACTCAGCCGATGTTCATGAAATAGAACAAATCTATACTTTACCTGTCACAGCTGAAGAAATAGCAAAAAATACACAATCTGATCCAGATCTTAGAGATATTTATCAATCACTAATCAGAGGGGAGCCAATCCATCACCCGATGTCTTCTAACGAACAAGAATGGTCAATTCAGCTTGGATGCTTATTAAAAGGGAATCGTGTGGTGATTCCCAAACAACTTTGTCCAAGAATTTTGAAAGAACTTCATGAGGCTCATGTGGGTATAGTTCGCATGAAGGGACTAGCTCGTTCGTATGTTTGGTGGCCTAAAATTGATGCAGACATTGAGAATATGACCTTAAATTGTTTGGGATGTCAACGAGTACAACATGAAGCACCCAAAGCACCAGTTCACCACTGGGAATATCCTTCAAGATCTATGCAAAGAGTTCATGTTGATTTTGCAGGACCATTTCATGGCCATTATTTTCTCCTAATTGTGGATGCCTACAGTAAATGGCCAGAGATTGTAACACTTACAACTATAAATTCACATAAAACCATTGAGGCTTTGCGGAGATTCTTTTGCTCTTTTGGAATCCCTGACATATTAGTGTCAGACAACGGAAGGCAATTTGTTTCGTTAGAGTTTGAAAAATTTCTTAAATCTAACGGAATTAGACACAAGAGATCAGCACCTTACCATCCTGCTACTAATGGCCAAGTAGAAAGCTATGTACAGGACTTGAAAGATACTATCAGAGCCATGCACTTTGAGGAAGGCTCAATTGAGTTGAAATTACAGAGATATTTAATGGCCTATCGAAGAGCTCCACATAGTACTACAGGACAGTCTCCTTCACATCTCTTTATTGGACGTCAAATTCGATCAAGACTTGACTTATTGTATCCTGATTTGTCACAAAAAATGAACCAAAATTTTGACTCAAAATCATATTCTGACAGGCAAAAATAATTTAAAGCTCAAGACCCTGTTGTTTACCGCCTATATGGGACCTGCAACAAATGGGGCTTTGGAAAGACCAATAGAAAAGAAGGACCAAGAAATTATGAAATATCCACAAGCAGTGGCACAATCAGACGTCATCAAGACCAAATTAGACGTTCAGGGCGAAACTTGTGTGAGTTTTCATTAAGGAATGAGCAAAATCAAGTATTCATACCAACAAATTTTGGAGGAGTCCATTTTGGAGGAGTCAGAGAGGAACCAACCGAAAACCACGCAACAAATGATCACAACATACCAACCGAAAACCACATAACAAATGATCACAACATACCAGATGTTCCAGAGGCCAACGATCACAACATATCAGATGTTCCAGTGGCACCAACTCCCGCTATTACAGTGAGACGTTCAAAAAGGACACATAAACCCGTGGATAGACTCAATTTATGAAGCTCACTTAAGAAGGGGAAGTGTTACATCCTAAATGTCTATCTTTACTTATTGATTATTTATTTTATAACTATTACCAGCTGGTTATAATGTTTACTTCTTCACTTTGTTTTTAATTTGTGTTGAATAAAGTTGGTTAAAATTGTACTTTTACAAATACATTTATTATTTGTTCTAATTACATACAGAACACCACACTACACTATTTTGAACTTCCCATGCAAGGATTTAGTCCAGAAAACAGCTGTTTGCTGCCAGTTTAATCAAATGGGGTTTCATTACGTACTACTGTACTGTAATGAGTTTTACCGGACACCAATCAGCTGATTATACTGTATTTGGGTGGCAATGAGTGGTTATAAGAAAAACATAACCTCTCTTAGAGGTTATGACTAGTGATTTTTAGTTGGTGGTAATATATAAAGATTTGAACAGATTTAGTAGTATAGCGTAAACTATCGTACGTCACTCGTCCAAAATGTGTTTACTTGATTCGTATGGTAATCCCGTACTCGATTTCGTCTCGCACAGGAACGACCACACTTGTCCGGTAAACACTTATTTTCAGATCTAGTAACGTAATATACTATTGCTGGCTATGTCTGTATTGGGAAGACCTCAGAGAAGTAAGGTACCTACAGAGGAGACATGCTTATGGGATGACTGTGCGCATTAAGCGCTAGTATGTTGTGCCGAGCAAGTAAGAGCCCGAGTGGCGAGCACTGTGCAGATACACCTATCGCACAGGCTACAGGATCTTCCTCCACTGTAAATGTTGTAGTGCATGAGGGCGAGAGGACAGTGTTTGACTTTGTTCTAGACACCAGCGACTTGTGCTGGACACCACTTAAATATACCAATGAATGTTTCCTTTGTACCTTACTTCTCTGTAGGGAGACATACCAGACTTTACATGCATGCACTCTACTTTGAGAAACATCTTTTTTAATGATTTTAACATGTTTGCAGTGGTTTTCTTAATTTTCCAATCTACCTTACCATCGACTTATCTGACTTTGCCGCAGCCTTCATGGGTCAAAACAATTCTGTAGTCTAATTCAGAATATTAAAATCAATATTTTGTTGATTAGTTTTAACAATTCAATGCCTGGTTATACTGGTCATTAAAAAAGAAACATAAGTTAACTTAACAGGGTTTTATTACACAAAAGATTACATTTTAATCAAATCATGTTATGATCAGAGCAGGCCTTAGGCACGTCCAGAAGGGGTAACCGCACAGGGCCTAGCACCTAGGGGGCACTTAGAACAAGAGCAAAATAAAAAAATAAAAAAAATCTATGAATTTTATGTATATTATGTCAGTTATGAAAAACGGGTGGAGTGTGAATAGTAATACTATACATTAACATTTTTGAAATTTATCATTGTAATAAAGCTACATTTTTTGTAGTAAGGGGCCCTGCTCTGAATATCTGGACCACGCCCCACATCCACCCAAGGCCGGCTCTGGATGAGATACTCACAGTTTCTTATGTCAGTTTCAAATAGAGGGTGGTATATTTGAGTCGAATCTCCTCCAAGCATCATGTAGGCCGTGAATGTGATCAAAATAATGCTGGCAGCCTGTGAACATTTAAATTCACTAATTATGAACTTGTACAAAAAAACTTATTAATGCTTCAAAAAGATTATTTGCCTTTACCATTAGGCCTAATTATGGTACAGGTAACTTATCCTGTTTTCTTCCATATTCAGTAGAAAAACAACTACTGAACTGTTCGTGCCAGGCATAAAGGCTAGCCTTTAGCCTAAATTTCACAAGGTTTTTTTTCAATTAACTACTCTTACTTAAAGAGATTCCCTACTGAAAATGTAAAATATTGTAATATTTTTCTCTTTGGTTCTGAATTGTGTTTCATGCATAATTTTTACATAAGCTAACTTTTTATACATGCCTAACTTAATAAGGAATTTTGGGTAAAAATGTCAACCATGTAAGTTATTTACAAGTAGGCCCTACCTTATGAGATATATCAATTTTAGTGTTAACAAACACGTAAAACCAAACTTGCGGGAATCGGGGGCTAGCTAGGCTTATCAGAAAACCAGGCTAGGCTATTTGCCATTGGGCAGTGGCAAGCAGAGCCTCCTGTAATATATATTTTTTCATATTCAAAACCACTTGTACTTTTTGATGCATGGTTTTTTTTGAGAGAGGAAATATTATAGAGCATTACCCTGTAAAAAAAAATTGAAAAAACTAAGAATACAATTTTGGTTATTATTGGCAGGGAATCCTCTTAAATGAAGCCCCTTTTTTGGTCAAATCATAAGTTAATAAATGCAGAACAAAATTAGATATAATGGAAAAGTACTTACGAATGAATAGACAGCAACACACTTGCTGCCCGACTTGACATCAGGATTCCAGATGCACGGAGACCAACAAGTCTTTAGGGCAACCATCTTGAGGTTTGATTGAATTAAGTTAAAAACTGAAAAAAATACAGTACCATATTTAAATTAAGCTATCTCTTAGGAATACCAGTTAACTATTAGTTGTTAACTAGCATGAGATGAGTTGACCAACCTTACCATTGTTAAGTAAGTTATTGAGTTAAAAACATTAACTAGGTACCATAACCTATCAACTTGAGACTAACAACAGAATGTTTTAGTGGGGCATAGTGAAATCATTGACTACTGTATACAGAAGTTGTATCAATTTAGTCAATGTTTAAGTAGGCATATATGAGGTCTCAAGTTAAATAAATAAAATTTTTCTACACAAATCCTATTCTACAGACCTATTACCGGTAGGCCTACTTGAACACATTTTGATAACAGACAGCACCTTGAAGATACAACTGCCTGGTTTCTGGCTAACCGTTTTCAACTAAACAAGGATAGTCCTAAGGCGCAGCATCATCTGCAGCCTTTCCAGAGAACAGCCTGGTGTTCAGGATTCAGTAAAACTGCGTGGATTTGTTCTTGATGGGAAGTTCAGCTGGACACATCACATAGACCAGACCACCAACAGACTCACGGAACTGTTTCCTCCTCCTCAAACTTAAATTCTGCGTAACAGAGGCATAATTGGTGATGTTGTACCCCTCTTTCACTGCCATGTCAGCTATGGCCTTCTTCTCTGGGGACACTCACCTTAGGTTGTAGAAGTACTTAGGCTCCAGAAGCATGCAGTAAGGATTGTTACTGGGAGTGAGTATTTTGTTCATTGTAAACCCCTCTTTGCACAACTTGGTTTGCTTACTGTAGTTGGCCACTCATACTTCTCCGTCTAATGTAGGCTATGTTAGGGCTAATAATATAACCAACTTCACCACTCGTGATGACGTCCACCAGCATAACACCAGGCAACGCCGTCAGCTTGATGTACCCAGGGTGCAATTATCTAGGACCTAAGCAAGTTACAGTGTGTCCGCCATATGTTTATTTAATAAGCTGCCACGACAGCATCCTGTTGTTTGATCTAAAAACTTTTAAGGCAGTGTTAACCTCTTTCATCAAGACCCGGGCCTATTATGACACCTCAGAATATCTAAGGGATGACTTAAGAAACCTGTAGCCTGCTGGAAGTATTTTTAATAGATGTATATATGTTTTTGTTAACAGTACCTAACAGTGTTAAGTGACACTGTCAATCCCACTTTGTGAGTAAAATATGAAGGAGAAGGTATTAAGGTCCCTATTTTAATCTACAATCTGACCAACTTCTAATAGATACTTGTTAACTTACCAAAACTCAAAGTCAAGTTCAACAGACTAGGTTAATACCCTAAACCATAAAAGCCCAACATCGATCTGATATGAGTTAAAGGTCCATTCACATAATAATAAGTTTATCACTTAAGGCACGTCCTAGTAAAGTCACATCAGTCACGTCAGTTTAAAAAATTATTTTTTAATTGATTTACTATTGCGCTACCGGTAGCGCTATCTACACTCATCCGACACAGTTCCGTCAGTTGCTCTGCTAGGGTCCGTCAGTCAATTTCAGATTTCTTCTCCGCACAGATATTTCTTGAATGTTTGGACGCCTAACGGATATGTTTGGGGTTAGGAAATGGTGCTTATTTATTAAAATGGTCATGTTTATATTATTAGTACTGTTTGTAACAATTAACAAGATGGGTGATGAAAATTTGATAGAATATTGTGTTCTAATTCAACAATTTTGTCTAAACATCAATACCGTACAAATAAAGTTTGACCGAAGACTGACTGAAACCAAATGATTGACCTTTTGACTGAGAAATTGTGGATGCAACTGAGAATGAACTGTGACTGGACAGGGAAGGAACTGTGACTGAACTAATAAGTGTAACTCGACCTTAACTTATCAAAAGTGGTAGCCTACTCTTTTAACTTAGGCTATAGACGAAAAAATTAAGTTGGCTTATCTCAGCCATGAGAAAGGCCATGGACTAACTCCTATGTTCTAGGAGGCTGCACTTTAGTTTACGTCCTACACTCATTCGAAAGAATATATCGATTACTCGCCTTTGGCCCCAGGCCCCCTAGCTTTTAGTCGTCATTTAGAAATGTAGGAAGGGGTGAGAGGCCATCACCAAGAAGTCGGGGAAACTTGAAGTCCGTGGCACACCTAGACGAATTCTAGGTGTGCCACGGACTTGAAGTTTCCCCGGCTTCTTGGTGATGGCCTCTCACCCCTTCCTACATTAAGTAAGTGGTCTAGATAGCACTCTCAGCATTTCTCAAGTCTCTGTCAAATTTGAATGATGGTGGATTTCTATATAGGCCTAAGCAAGGGGGAGTTAACATTTAAGGATAATGTTAATTAATATTTAAATGTTTTGAAACTTAGGGGCGACAATCCTGCTACATTGTGCCTGTCTATAATTAATGTATTTAGTCCAATGCACCCCAGAAGTGTTTTATAAAGAAATAACTTATTGAGGGGTTAGAGTAAGTAGGCCTAGTTTAAGAACTGTTTTTGGGGGGGGGGGGTGGTTGAATTATTTGTTAAGGGGGGGGAAGGTGTCAATATTTGATAATTCGATACTACATCAAGTACTACTACTACATATCGATACTAGTCGATAATACATCAAGTTTGGTTTTAACCTAACGTAACTTAACCAACCGAATAAAATAATCGATATATTGAATAATTTATATTTTGATTTGAATAAGTGTTGGAGTAGGACGTAAACTAAAGTGCAACCTTCTAAGATGTACTGAGGCCCAATAATGACTGGGTTTACTATGAAAACACAGTGCAGGCAAATTCACAAACTGGACAGATTTGCTCATGTAGATTATTGAGAAAGGCAAATACAAAGTGATTATTATTTTAACATATAAAAAGCCTTGACAAATTTAAGTTGGCCTGGGATAGGCCTATCTTAAATCTGTTAACCTAAATACCTACTGGCCATTTTAAAAACAAAATATTATTCCTATGGATCTAGGCTAAATGTAGTAATAGAGACTTGTTTGGACTTACCTTATTCCTTCCAAAAAATAAACGTATACAAAACAATTAATGTGGCCGATAATAGACGAAAACAAAACTAAAACTAACCAAAACAGTCATAAACAGTAAAATGTTTACACTTTTACACCCTAATGGTGACGTCAGACGTCTTCTTTCTTGTACTTGTATACAGCTACAGCAGCAAACTTTTGCCACGCCCCTCTTTTAAAAATTCACAGCCAGCACCATTTCAACTACTAGACTGCATCTTCCATAGGATATGTACTATATCAAGTTAAGATGTATTATACAGAGTGAGGCAATAAGAACGCCACAATTTGTTTTAGCTGTCACATGTTAATTTTTGCAACAACGGATGATCAGCTTTACTTATAACATCAATTAAACTATGCCATTTTAGTAAATATTATGCCTGAGGCTATTAACACTGAGATTTTTATGTGGAAACCTATTTAAAAAATCGTGATTCTTGTGCAAAAACCCAGAGATTGTTTGGACCACATGGACAGAAACGTAGGGCTAACAATTTTCCAACAGTTTTTGCTACTTGGGTGTTGTCGTCAATTAAGTTTTTAGGCTAGGAATTAGGAATAAATTATTTACATTTAAAGGAAATCTTCGAAGCATATCAAACTGTCCAGGCTTTCTCGTTTTTTCCATTGTAATATTTACGCCAACGCTAATTCAAATAGTAAATATTTCATTTCAACCAAGTCAGTGTTTGTAGCTCACGTTTCCTTAAATTGCAATTAAAATATTAATCAACAGCAATTAAATTCAGAGGCAAGGGACTTCGACTTCGAAAATGTAAGGTCAGTTTGAAAATCTACCCACCTACTAAAATTTTGGTATACACAGTAATATGTGGGTTTAAATCTTAAAACATAAAAGCCTTATTGTTCACAAAGTTCTAATGGTTCTATGTAGCGTATTAATAATATAGATAGAATAGATAGATTTCTGCGTGTACATTTCACCATAGACAAAAAGAATTAAATATTCACACACATTATTTTTAATACCTCAGAGTAAAATTTACTCTGAGTTAATACAAAAAGTAATTTTGATACTAGTTCAGTCAAACACCGCTAGATGTATCTACTAGGTTCGCGACAGTTCACCTATTCACCGCTAGATGTCCCTGTAATCGAAATACATCGTAATTCAACGTTGTTTAACTATTTACCCTACTAATATTCTAAACAAATTAAACAGTTTAAAAATGAGAAACAAAATTGGCTTTATCTTAAAAAGTTAATACGCTATACATTTAAACTACAATGTTTCGATTTAAAGTCGTGGTATTTGGAAATGACTCATTTTTATCCGTTGATACTCGGAGTGATTTGTGTGTGGCTCGTACTAGACTAGCTCACTTGGAAACTCGTCTCTGTACCACCTTCCATTGCATACTATTACTTAAGTATCTTACCTTAGTGGTCACTGAAATATTCAGGTCTATTTATCTCTGATTTTTTGGCAAGCCGAGAGTCGTGTCTTTCGTGGGACCGATGATTGGCTTATAACACTGAGTATGTTACGTGAAACTCAACCAATGCTTATAATAACAATAAAATAGAAAAAAAAACAGCCAGTAACGACCTAGGCAGACGCAATAGTGTATGTTAGTGATAGTAATTTTTAATATTCAATACTCAAAACTTAAACCTTTAGTTGGGGAAAGCCAAGGGAAAGCATATTCTTTATCTATGCTATGTAAGGAGGTAAAAAGGGATAAGCTTCTTTTACATTTTGCTGTTATTTTAAAGTCAACTAGAAGAGTACTTCGTATGAGGTTGGCATATAAAATGCTTATTGCAGTTATACTCTAGCTTTGCGTTTGCAATGTAGCACTTTTTGTATTTTAATTTTTTTAAAGTACTCAGTCACCTTATAAAAGGAGGCTAATTTACCTCTTAATTTATTTTTTATCTCTTTAGGTCTAATAGTATCATACATAGTATGGCTCTTTGTATTTCTCATAATTTCCAACAAATCCTATTTCTCGTTAGAAGAGTATAAATTATTATACAGTACTAGCAAACATCAGGTAGGAAATTCAGAAAATGAGGTAACCGTTAAAGCCCTATTAAATCTTCTTTGTCAATTGTCCTCATGTATAACTTTATGGTAAAATGATAAGTTAATGTTTAAGAAAGTGTTATAGCGAATTTGTTGTAAATAAAACTCAACGGGGTGTTTCTGCAATCTTAAATAGATAACGTTCTGTAGGTTCTGGATTTTTGTTTTCTAAAAATTCAGTTTCCTTAAATTTTTGAACAGTGATTCCTTTTTTCCATGTATAGTTGATATTTTAGGTATTGGAATCACAATCGAAAACGTAATTTCAAACCTTTCGTGACAAAAATTAGCCCACACACTATACGTCCATGGCACGGATTTTCATATTTTATACAGCTATAAAATATATATTTTTATGTTATATATAGCTACTCTATGCGTGGCATGTCACGTTTTCCCCCACACACTTATCTTCAGTGTAGTCTGCAATGTTTCAAATTACATCTACTGTTACTGTTGGTACAAATCAAATGCAGAACACACACACATACGGCATGATCTAAGTTGTGTAGTGAAATAAGACTTTTACAAAGTTTAAAGGAAATCCGTTTTCGAGATGTTTGTGCAAGCATTTATTAAAGTATACATACAAGCAAATATTGATCATATAGTATAGGATTATACATTTATGAAACCGAAATGTCCTTAAAATATTCCAACACACACTCCGCACTGCACAACTGCTCACCTTTACTACTTCCTTCACCACTTCCTACATCTTGGGTCTGTTTCCTCCCTTCCCATAGCATTTTAGGATTGCAGATAAAATCAGTAGGATAGTGTACCTCTTAAATACAGGTAGTTTCCAAATTTATTTTTAATTAAATTGATTAAGTTGATTAATTAAATTGATTCATGAGAAGTCAACTTGTGGTTACCAAAGTCAAACTGTACATAAGGCTCATGAAAATTAGTAGCAACTAATTAAAGTAGTCTTACCGTTTGTGTACTGCCACAAACACATAGAACCTTATATATTTACTTCATCTAGACGGAGAATGGCGAGTTGGTCAAGATAATTGTTAGGTTTGACTACAAACCTAACTGTCTTGGCAATATCACCAATTCTTCGCATTATTGACGTTCGCCGTTGGGGGTTGTCACATTATCACCAGTATCACTATATCAATTGTCCTTGGAGATGGGGACGCCACATGCGTATCCCCAAAATGAGTGAATGTGAGTGTAGAATGGAGTGAGATGATCGATGATCTGTGCAACTTTTGTTACTAACTAAAGATCAGCTGTTTATGCTCATTTATTCAAAACCCAATGTTCAGGAACAGCTGGTATTTACGTATTTTTCTCAGAATCCTCCAGCTACCTTTTGATTGAGACAAGCACTGTAACCACTCAGCTACTCAGCAAGGTCTATGTCATTTGACAGGGAACGACACCTTATCAGATAAGGCAAGGTCCAAGGTCAAGGTCAACATGAGTCACTGGGTGTCGGGTGTGGGTTTAATCAGGCATGTCCTCTGATCATCCGTGAAAATTGGCCTAAGGTGTTACCATTCTAGAAATAAACACCCGTGCACATATGGGCTGTGCTGGGTTGGTTCATGGCCTTGAAATGCAACGCCTTCTTCCTTGGATTATTCGAAAAACGAGGCAGTTAGTTTACACATTAACAGTTTGTATTTACGTAATAATTTCAAACACTCGGGGAACCTCAAGGTGAAGTTAATGTTATCTTGAACAGGGGCGTCGCCTAAGGTGGGGTTGGGGGAGGAGCCACCCCCCCAATCATCTTTGAAAAGTGTAAAAGTAGGAAATTTTTGGGTATTTGAAGGTATGAGTTGGGATTTTGGGAGATTTGAAACTGTCGTTTAACTGTCGACTTGAAGGTTTATTTTCAAAAGCAGACATCTAACCTTATGTAGGAAACTAAAATAATTTAAGTAAAAAAGTGTTGGAAATTTATATTGAGCAACTATAGTAGGCTACGTTACGTAACGTATATGTAGTAGGCCTAGGCCTACACAGAAGTAATTCAATACTTTAGGGAAATTTCTTTCTGAGCTGCGCGTGGATAGCCGTATCCACTAACTGTTTATTAAATTGAGTTCATTATTTTACGAGTTCGTTTGGCTCTTCTACCAGAATGATTTTCATGATTGAGGTCTCAAGGTATGCACGCACATATTTCACATCGATCATCGACATATATTTATCTACATTCCCACTCGTCTTATACTTAAACGAAATTTGCTTCCCATGTATTTCTTGTGGGAGTTAAATTATTTTACGAGTTCGTTTGGCTCTTCTACCCAACCGATTTTCATGATTAAGGTATCAAATTGAAGATATGCATGCACAGATATCACATCAAGCATCGGCATATATATTTATAATATTGCTCGACCAAAAAACATAAATATGATTTTTCGAATTCTTACTTAATTTTAATCTTACAAGTTATAATTGTATAATACTATGTATTTTGGTCTAAGAACCTTCAGTGAAATACCGGCTACCATTTAAGCTAGGTTATTAGTTATTCAAATCGGACGAGTTTCAAGCAAACGCAAGGTGAACAAACAACACAACATTATTTTGTATAAGGCTTATCTATGATTAAAAATCAATAGCTCCATTATTGTTTAAGTTTTTTTTATGTGTTTAAGACTCAATGTACAGTAATCAGTAAATTATAGGCTTTAATATGAGCTATTGATCGTTTAAATCAGTTAAGTTCAAGATACTGTATTACTCAATCAAAAATTATAATTTTATTAGTTCTCAGATATGATATTAATTTCAACGCTGCGGAGCAGCATGGGTCTTGGGTCCTCTAGTTACAGTACGATTGTACCTGTTTACAAATATAGTGCAATAATTATTTCCGATCACGTTTTGTAAGAAAACCCTAAACCAAGTGCGATTAATAAAACTTTGACTTAAATAACATATTTAATTAAACGCAAGTCCGGTACAACATTTTGTACCGCACTTACTATGGACTACACCAGTATTATTTTAGGGGGGTTTTATTGGTTTTCCCATTTTTGAACCCCAAAGGCAAAAAAAAAAACAATTTTGCAATTTTTTTCAAAACGAATTTGCAGAGCTTAAAAACCAAATTATGTTAAGCCTGTTAAGTACGGAGAAAATTACAAACAATTGTAATTTTAAAATTGCTGTGTCATTATGGAGAGTAAATAAACTGTCATAGTGTGCTTGTTTAGGGATATATTTTTTAACAAATTTGGCAATATATTTCATTACTGAGCTATTAACAATTCAATAAAAAAACATGCTTCATTAACCTCTCTGCAGCAGCAAACTCAGAATTTATTAAAATTAATGTAATTTTTAAAAAACATATCTCACAATTTTAAGGGGATATTTTAGTGAGAATCCAACCAGGAAAATATAAATTCTAGTCTGCAGGTTTGCTGTAGCACATGCAGAGAGGCTTTTGGTCCCAGACTTCTGGTATTTCAGTATGTTTTGCACTATCTATAAATTTATGTTTGCTACTGTACGGCTTGAAAACGAACGTTTGGCGAATTAATATTCAAATTACTTGCGGGGATTGTTTTCACCCACAATAAAACACATCGCTTTACACTATTGGCAAAAAATGTCCACCCATGAGCCCTGACCTCAAACAACTCAAACAACGCACAAACTTCGACAACTTCTCCAGCTGACAACAACCAACAGCTGGAAACGTCACACACCATCACCCGCTCACAGACCGTGAGTCAATCTTCCACACCTCTGGATTAATTGGCTGAGTGTGTACGTCTGTACGGTATTGTAGTGCACCAATTGGCAACAGTGGGACGGTTTTTCTAAACCGGGTTCCCCCTCCAGCCGCCTCAACTTCTTGGGCAGTGTCCGACCGACTCTTGCTCGCCGGCGCGGTGTTCGTCCATAGTTATAATGTTAACGAATCTGAGTTATGTCCACCTGTTGATTGTTGTGATTGTGTGCTAGTGGAATGCGCGAAGACTTTGGATACTCTGGAAGGTAAGGGACAAAGATTCAATGAGGGTTTCTGTCATAAATTCTGTGTTGTGTAGATTTGTGATTTATTCAAGGAGTGTCGGAATAACTGTACTCTAACTTTTGTTTGGCCCAGGAAGGCGAGAGTCAAATTTGACAGGACTGAAAAGTCATTACTTTATAGATCCCGGTGAGGCTTTTGTTTATTCGTGTTTGTGTGTTGTTTATTTCAATAATGTTTGTATCGCACACTATTATGATTGTTTTCAATAAAACTTGTTAAGTGAGGAATTTGGGCTTTGTTTTTTATTTATTTGGAACTTGTGTTGACGATTCATAATGAAGCCGATTGTTTAGAATACTTTCTAATTTGTTAGTTGAGGTCAACGAAACATATAAAAAAAATCCAATACATAAAAACAAAATGTTTTTACTGCAATGTTTTTCGTAATTTATTTTATTTTGGCGTAATCGCTTTAATTACCGCACATATCTTTTCACAATTGAATTTCCAAATTGAATTGAATTCAACACAGTAATTAGTTTTTGGTTATTTGTGCTATCCCACCTAGGAATGTGCATTGTTTTAACAATTAATTTCTTTAACAATATACAAATCCTCAACAATTCAACTGTAAACCAACACTATATGACTTTATTATTATTTAAATAGGAAAACACGTATTTAATATCTTGGAAAATGAATAATAGGTATTATATATAACGAGCACAAAATTAATCATTCCATATTTTCTCTGCGAAAACGTACGTCCGAAATGTATATTTATCTAGTTAATGAAGTCACGAGCAAATTGAAATTACTATATCCTGTAATTATGAGTAACAATTATTTTCTAACGAAGTTCGTCTGAATTGTTTAACGAAGGTGCACGCGTTTTATGTGATAAAGTGGCTGGAAACACACGTGCGTGTTTTGTAGGTGTACTAAATAAAAGCAATATACACAAAAATAACGAAGGAAACTAGTAAGAAGTTAAAATGGAACAAATGTCTAATGCCCAAACATATGTTAAAGTATACTTAACATTGTGTATTGCCATTATATCTGACCACATGAAACATGCACTTAATTTTTATCAAAAAAGTTCTACGAAAATTATTAAATTTGAAAATTGTCAACAATTACATAAGGTATGATTTAGATTATCGTATGGATTTTGTAGTGTTTTTGTGATACAGAGAAAGTCCTCACTGCCTAAGGCCCATGTTATACGGACAGAAAAAACGCGACAGATTTTTCGCCGCGTAGACGCCAAGCCTACCGAGCAATGGACGTCACTGTGTGCAAGTTATACGAACGTTTTATCTGTCGCGTCGGACACTGTAAACCCAGCGTCAGCGTCGACAACGCAACCGGACCGGTAAAACTGGCAGAAAAAACGCGACAGAAATGACGCGAGCACTGTTATACGGGCAGCTTTTACGCGGCAGATCCGTGCTTCACCCCTAACTATACTCCTCCGATAGGGTAGTTCCCAGGTGCCAGTTGTGCAATACTATTGTTGCGTTGAAAAATGGAAAATCTGTCGCGTTTTTTCTGTCCGTATAAAATGGGCCTAAACAGCTCCATGGCGTCGACGACGCGGCGTTATTGCTGCTCGTATAACAGCACTGAATTTTTAGTTCAGCGTCGGCGTTTTATCTGTCGCGTTCTTGCTGTCCTTATAACATGGGCCTAAAGGATGTAATTTTTTTGTCTTGATTACTCTTTCACACAAGGGGAAGGGAGGGGGTGGGTAGTTTAAGGTGAATAAGGTGATAGCTTAGTTAAAAACATTTATTAAAAGTCCAATGTGAAGGTCAGCTTGGTACAGGGTTTAGATCGGTCAACTTAGAATCAGAAATGTTTTATTCATGATTTATAACATAGATACAGATTGGCGCCAATAACTTAATATCTAGAAATAGTTATACAAATTGTTCATTGAAACAGTATAGTAGTATGATTTTTTGTATTAAATACACCCTCAATCTCCTTTTGAAGGTCTTGAAGGCCTTCAAACGTACAGCTGTCGGTTCAGAACCACAAGTCAAAGGTTTTCGCTTTAGTAAATTCTCCGAGCTATAATATCTACCAGCCGCGTTAGGAATTATTTGTAAATAAGGCAGTTACAAAACTACTGTATGCATCTTTCACATATACTGTATATATATATTTGTTTTTTTGAGGGGGGGGGGGCAAAATTGACAATAATTTTTTCGCAGGCGATTATGTTCAAATACCCTACCACAGAATTAAGACAGGAGCACTCACTTTTTTTCTGTCGTCGCATGTCAATCAATCTATGTACCAAATTCACAAGCAATGTAATAAAACAAATAAAATACATTTACGATAACTGACAACAAACAGTTCACACACTGATTAACAACCAACAGATTAGCCATTAGACTATCAGTTAATTTTAGGTTATGTTTTTATGCGGTTGGCATCCCTGTCGGTGCTGAGTACATTGCGACGGCGCTGTGATAATGCTGACGCAGGGATTGTCATCAGCAACATCAACACTGGCGCCCGCTGATGCAACCTCTGAGCGTCAGCATCCGTGGCGTGGCCTTGCTGATGCAGAATAAAGTCTATTTCGTTATAGTGCAGCGAAAACAGCTGTTTTCGATACATTCTGCTGTAGCCTATCATATACTCTAATGATACGAGCTATGTCTGTTTGTCTGTCTGTAATATATAGGCCTATCTCGAAATCCAGCTGAAGGTATTTGAGTTAATTTTGGAATTGGGGACTTATAGCCCTAAAAACGTGATGACGACAGGTACTACCTCAGGAAAATTCGTATTTCGCAACACAACTCATTTGAAAATTAAAAAAATTAACATTGGCCTTATGGGCTGCCAAGTAGCTAGTTGGTTGAATTAACAAGGAATAGGTAAACAAAAGACATGTAACATTTGTTTATAACAAGCCATTCACAGTATACTTGCAAATTACAAAATACAGTAAGTACAAAGGGAAAAACATCAGTTGAACTATTGAGCAAAGATTACACTGAAGATTACTCGATAAAGAGAAAATAGAGCAAGTCAGTGTTGATGATGTGCACTGGTGTCAACTCAATTTTTCACTCTTATATTTAAGGGTTTGATTTTACAATTTTAATGCACTCTTTATTAATAGTTTGGATTTGAACAGCTGCATTCAGTTGAATTAAATCAAAGTTAATTATTCTATTACAATGATTTTTATAGTAAACTTTGAGTAAACGATATACGCTTGAATCAAACTTAACTGTCTTCAGCTAATCCATCATATGATAGTATTTTAGAGAGTATGCTCATGCTGAAGTTTTACTTTTACCTAAAGAAAGATTTATTTTAGTACAAAGAAATAAATCACACCCCTTACATACATAAATAAAAGTATTTTTCATGATAAATGTGAATAAAACTGTAAATAAATTGAAATTCCACTGAAACTTAAAAAATAAAAGCCAAAATTAGTTCTAGATAAAACGTGAGTTTCCTGTAGATTGCTTTCACAATCGAAATGAACTATACCGAGCCATGGCTCAGTCCCCCGGTACTGTATTTTGATTAGAAAAATTGTAAGGTACCAAATTTTAAGGGGGGTAGAAACGTACTACGAATAAATGAACATCAGAACTTACCCGATTTTTAACCACAATAGCCTACTCCTAGGCCTATGTGTTGGCCATAGCTTGGGCTATGGGCCAAAGAACGTAGGCCTATTTTTATTCACAGTGAAGTACACAAACACATCCACAACTACATATTTATTCATAATAGCACTTCGCTTCACAAAATAAAGTTAAACCGGCCGATTTTACAGATATTTAACGCCGACGACGACATAACCCCAAACTGGTGTTTATTTGTTGACAGACGACAGACGAAACTAGACCAGCTCAACAAGTGAATTCGATCAGCTGTTATCTAGTAGTACTTGAGTTCGCCGCTTGAGCGCGTAAGCCTCGAGCGGGCAGGAACGAAGGATTTTACCCAAAGACATGATTATTCGTTCATACGCCGTCTTCGAAGTAACTTCGCTAATTGACCGCCGACTAGCTCACACACGACTTACGAATACGACCCTACGATTCGATTACGAAGGTTAGCTAACACACCAGTTAGGCTCCTTTTTACGTTTTACGTTATTTTTGTTTTATCTTTTTTTATACGCATACTTAACTTATTTTACATTTTCGTTTTCTTAAATTACCGATTCGAATTATCTAAATTTAATATCGTAACTTGAGTCTTGACCCGCCAGTTCCTGCCTGCCAGTGACTAGCGGTGGCGATCGTTTATTTTATTTTAATTAACTGGTTTCGAAATTACGATTTCTCCGTTCGCTTAACGAGTAATTGTTACTTCTATTATTTTAATCAATTCGACGTTTTAATACCCCGAGACTTGTCGTCTAAGTTCTAAACCCCGTCTTTGGCGGGTGAAAGAATCAAGTCTTGGGAGCAGGCTGATTGAACAATCAGCTACGTAAATTAATATTAAATTTATTTTAAACCTATCACGATAAATTATCCATCCAATTATATTAATTAGGCCCCGACGACTCTGTAGGAATTGTTTTTACATTATATTCGATTTTATTTTATTTACCTAGGCCTTTAGTTAATTATTTTAAAGTTCATTACGAGTAATTGAATCACATTGGCTTCAGATTGAATACTCGTCGGCCCTACAGAGTCATTCTAAAAGTTAGGCAAAATTCTCCAAAACTCTTTAACGAAGGCTGGGATGATATAGCTCCAACTGAGCGTCTGCAGGATTTCCTGAACGTTTTCTGAGCTCTGAGCCTTCGATTAAATTTTAAATAAATTGATCAGTCAAAGCCGTGACAACTTCGTATCGACCCCTGGATTTTTCTCGGCTCCTTCTGAGCACTCCGGGGAAGAAATTTGAGTGTGGCCAGTTCTAGGGGTAGACCTAGCCTGACTTGGTGAATACTAGTTTATTCCCCCCCTAGAATTTTGCGTCACAAAATTTCCGTTTTATCTTAAAATCTCTAGGT